CAGTGTTGTCCGAAATTCCCTCAAGGTACATGCACTGACGTATAACACAACGTACGGTACGGTTCCATACCGCAGCTTGATGGAAATTCAATGTTTCAGATACACCGATCCCGAAACATTATCCACCTCTGCAGGTCATATTTATCTAGTGAGCCTTCGCGCGAAATTGGTGCGCATTCATTCCCTCCAATCCTCAAGCCGCTGCAGCGTTGAAAAAAGAGGTTACAGAAAAAGTTGCCCAAGGCTATGCGCGGCTTATTCCCTGGGATGAGCTCAAAAAGTCTTTACCACCCAACATTCGAATCAGTCCCATTGCAGCGATACCACACAAGAGTCGAGCATTCCGTATGATTCTGGATCTGAGTTATATGTTCACTCTTAATGGGATCCCTTGGTCGTCAGTCAACACAGCATCCACTCCTTCAGATCCACCACTTCAATCCATGACACAGTTGGGTCAAGTCCTTCCACGTTTGATTCATCGCATGGCTACTAGCTCTGAAGACGAGGGGCCCTGGGTCTTCATGAAACTGGATATTAAAGACGGGTTTTGGCGTATGATGGTCCCTGAGCAGTATGAGTACAACTTTTGCTATGTGCTCCCTCAGGACAATCCAACCGACCCCATCCAAATTGTTGTACCTAGTTCACTCCAAATGGGGTGGAAGTACAGTCCACCGTACTTCTGTTCTGCCACTGAAACTGGGCGGGATGTGGCCCAAACATTAGTGAACGAACCAACTCTCCCCAAACACCCCTTCGAAAATATGACTATGGACATCGATGATGATCTCAAGCTTTACCAACTCCAACACCCCTCTCAATGGACAGAGGAGGAACTACCAGAGAGGCTCCAAAACTTGAACCGGCTCTTGGAAGTTTATGTTGATGACTTTGTGGCTGCTATTCAGTGCACAAACTCCCAGGCACTCCTGCACCATTCCCGAGCACTGCTCCATGCTATCCATTCTATTTTCCCTGCTGCCCCAAATCCAAAACAGGACCCGGACGACGAACCTGTCTCTTTGAAGAAGCTTCTTGAAGGAGAAGGCATTTGGGCATTTCGCAAGGAGATTTTGGGCTGGATTTTTGACGGCATTGCCCGCACTATTGAGCTCCCACCTGGAAAGCTCGACAAGATTAGGGCAGCTATCAAGCAGGTTCTTCACACAAAGCACAGCAAACTCTCTGATCTACAGTCACTGGTTGGAAAACTCCAACACGCCTGTTTGGCAATTCCAAATGGACGTGGATTGCTTGCTCCAGTGTACAAGCTCCTCCCAGCAACCCATTCCAAAAAACACCACCAGCGTCGTCATGTTTCCATCCCCCAGGAATCCGAGGCTTACAAAGCCTTGCAAGATCTACGAACTATGCTCAAGATTGTTGCAAATCGGCCAACGAAATGTGCCCAGCTAGTCCCTGGTTGGCCACATTTCATTGGGTTCTGCGACGCTTGCAAGCATGGGGCAGGAGGAGTTTGGTTAAGTGGCAGCGACAACCTGCACCCAACAGTGTGGAGGGTCAAATGGCCCCCCGAAATTGTTGCTCTGGTCGAAGCCAACAAACTCTCTGTGAATGATCTCGAAATGGCAGGACTTCTCTTGCACTACTTAGTGCTCGAGCAGCTTGTGCCCACGCTCGAGCACAAACACTGCGCCGCATGGTGTGACAACACGTCTACTGTGTCGTGGGCCAAACGACTATCCTCCAGCAAAACTCTTGTGGGACAACGACTGGTTCGAGCACTTTGCATCCGACATGCTGTGACTAAAAGCTCTCCCCTGGCACCCTGGTCGATTGCTGGAGCAAACAACAAGATGGCAGACTTGGCCAGCAGGTCGTTCAAGAAAGGCGGGGCTGGAAACTTTGAGCTGTCCAATAAAGATTTTCTTACCTTTTTCAATGCCAAATTCCCCCTTTCTCAGGACGCCTCTTGGCGAATGCACCACCCGAGCACCAAGGTGTGCTCATTGGTCTTCTTAGAGATGCAAGCGCAGCGACAGCCCATGGGGTCGTGGCTGCGACTGCCCAGCAACGCCACAAATTCTGGGGTGAGTGGTGCAAACTCCTCCAAAAGTTTGGCCTTGCCGACCCTTTCCTCCGAGGAACCAGCCAATCTGAGCAACTCGCACTCTCCCAAGCCTTTGCCCATTGGGTTCGGTGTGGAAATGTCGGACGACAAAATCGCGTCGGCACTCAACGCGTACAACAAGCGTTGGCAGCCGTCGGAAAGACCTTCCAACTGGCTGTTGAACCCTCTCCCACGTACGTCGACCAAAGCAGAGCAACATATTGGCCCGCCCTCCAACAGCAAATAGAATCATATCGTCGAGAGGACCCCCCTCCCCAGCCTAAACTGGCTGTGCCAGTTACAGTTCCCCACACACTTGTGCGGGAAGGCCTCAGAACTTTCAGTCCCAAACTACGTGCTCTCGGTGATCTTACCAACATTGCATTCTATTACTTGCTAAGAGTCGGGGAATACACCTACAGCCCCCCCAAGCAACGAACCAGAACTCAGAGATTTCGTATTAAAGATGTCATTTTCCGCAGGGCAAACCAATCAATCATCCCAAACACTGCCCCTCTCCAGGAATTGCTCACTGCTACACATGCCACATTGCGCATTTCCAATCAGAAAAATGGAAAAGGGGTCAGTGCATTCATCACCACTGTACTGGACCATCACAAGCCCAGTCAAAGCCTTAGCACGTCAGTTTCACACATTATGGCCCAACAAACACCCAAATACTGCACTCAGCACTATTTTGAACTTGGTCAACCAAAGCAAATCCGACCAAGACATCAACAACATCATCAAAAACACTGTCATTAAAACTTGGCCTCCAACAGGCGTGTTTCACTCGAACCAACGTTAGCAGTCACTCCCTTCGCGCGGGTGGAGCAATGGCTATGAAGCTCAATGGAATTGACCCAATCACCATAAAAAACATGGCCGTTGGTCCTCAACACATTCCTACAATACATCCACGAACAGATTGGATTCCTCACCATTGGAGTTGCAACCCGAATGTCACGTTACATCCCATTCACCAATGTAGCCCACGTTCCATGCTGCCCCCACCTTTCTGAGCCCATTGACGAAATCACACACACACCCCACTAAACTAAACACGTTTCACCCCAATCATTTCGGTATTACAGTAGCATTAGCGTTGCTACTTCCTTCACCTTCATTGTACAACCTTTCAGAAACTTGAACAGTCTTCGGACCTTCCATGGCACGGACCGTCCGGAGCTGTCCATCGCTTTCACCATCACACCACAAATGGAACCAACACATATGGAGATTCCATGCACTAAGTGTGTGGCATAACACCAGCCATAACAATAGTAAGCTGCTTCATATCCCAAACTTAGTATGCACTCTACTGACTAGTCCCTTTGAAGAGTGATAATGCAAGTCTCTGAAAGCCATCTTGCCCAAGTCAATCCATTCAGAAACAAGAATGCGGGAAGGCATCACAGTCTAGTACATCTGGTGGGGACAGAGTGTAGGACCGAGCCACATGTAGATCTAGTGAGCCTTCGCGCGAAATTGGTGCGCATTCATTCCCTCCAGTCAGAATCCTCACAATTTTCTTTTCTTGGATTGATCGACTTGTGTTGAAGCAGCCCTCTACCCTCCCTTTAGCCTAGGAGATTCCATGCACTAAGTGTGTGGCATACACCAGCCATAACAATAGTAAGCTGCTTCATATGCCCAAACTTAGTATGCACTCTACTGACTAGTCCCTTTGAAGAGTGATAATGCAAGTCTCTGAAAGCCATCTTGCCCACAAGTCAATCCATTCAGAAACAAGAATGCGGGAAGGCATCACAGTCTACATGTGGGGACAGAGTGTAGGACCGAGCCACATGTAGACGTGATGCGACGGGACGTACTGGTACGACCTTCGCACATCGCTTGGCAAAGCACGGCCCTTAGTAATAGCATAAAGAAAAGCACCTCCAAGCGACAATACTATAGTATTGGAGCTTCAGGTGTGTTGGACTGAGTGTTACGTTCCATTGCCAGCCGTGCATACGGTATAAGTATCCCGTTCAAGATTATCTCTCAAAGAATGAGGCAAAATATTCGTCCAGTCCGCTTCGAAATCGGTCTCACCACCGATACCCCCACAACCTGCTCAGACTTGACAAAGATTCTCAATCGGCAGCTTCCAGGAGCGAACAAGATTGCTGCTATTTCCTCCTATGGCAAGGCTGCTATCCATGACGCTGGTTCTACTATTAATAATGAAACTGGGCGCTCCGCTATGAAGCTCTGTCCGTCTCCCGGTACTGCTTCAAGTGGCGGCAACAACTCCTACCGGCTCGTATCCGGCTGGAATCAGTCAGACCAAGACATGGAAGATTGTGCACGCATCTTCAAGCACGTGGAAAAAGCCAGTTCCAAAAATGCGGTGGCTGCCCTGAACAAAGTGGTTGGACTTCGTGTTCATGTGATTGCACGTGGGATGGATTTCCCGGCGCTTGTCCGGCTTTGTCAGAACTTTTGCAAATACGAGTCTGCCATGGATGTCTTGCTGCCTCAGTCACGTCGAACGGGAAGTCATGCCAGCAACAAGTTTTTCCAGAGCATCTCCGAGACTCTTGGGGGACAAGCAGCAGAATCCACACTCAAGCACAAGCTGGAAATGATTGGCGCCTGCAGAAACACCGAGAGTCTTGTTGAATTGGTCAACCCCCGTGGTTCTAGCTACAAGCTCAACCTGCGTCCAGTTATTGCGCTGTCAACAAACAATGCCACCGCCTCCTCGTCACCACCTTATATTGAGTTTCGGCAGCATTCATCCACCAGCAATCCGCAAAAGATGCAGGCATGGGTTACCGTTTGCAATGCCTTGCTGGAACGAGCCATCTCCCACGGCAAAGCACCTCTTGCCTTCCATGCGTCTCGAACCGTAGATGAACAGGTGGATACCTTCTTTTCTGTTGTTGTCAAGGATCCCCAGTGCAAGACCTATTTCGAAGAGCGCCGTGCAGCTTTGCAACGAGAAGGTCAAGACAACGCAGCTGCTTCTTCTACTACCAGCAGAGCTTCATCCGACGCCACTGGGAAACCAACAAAGAAGCCCAAGACAACGGAAATGGCAAAGGCGCATGCCAAGGCATCAAGGGAAGGCCAACGAAGAAACAATGACAATTCATCATCCAAGCTATGTGGATGCTGCTTCCAGGAACTCCCCAAGACATTAGCCAATGCCAAACAGACGTGCGCCTGTCAAGACAATGGCCATGTCTTTTGTGCTTCCTGTATCCAGAGCTATGCAAAGGAAGAAATCTATGGCAATCACAATGGAAAGTTGCTCTGTATGGCACTTGGAGGCGACTGCAAGAGCGAACTAAACTCTCGACAACTAGAAGCAATTCTGCCCAAGAAACACAAACTCAAACTGAAAGAGCTTCAATTTGTGCGAATGAGCGCTGATACGCAAGGGCTTGTCATGTGGTACGTTCGTGTGTCGACCTTTTTTTCAACCTGATATCATTATGCCATGATCCATGATGCTTGCCATCGCTTAAAAATCCTTCGTTCCTGCATGCCGTCTCACGTGATACATGTATGTTCGCTGCTTGGGTCCCACCGGTATAGCGAGTGCCCCAAATGTGGCTCGAGTGGAATGATTCCAAAGACCGAGAAAACTTTCTCGTGTCCTCTCGGGTCCTGTCGTTTTCATTCTTGTCGCAGGTGTGCCGAAGAGGCTCATCCTGGGCTCAAGTGCTCCCAAGTCGAGAAGCAGAACGTTCGAGATGGGAGGACCCAGGTAGAGGAGGCCATGTCGGGGGAACGTATTCGGCAGTGTCCCAGCTGCCATACTCGGATCATTCTTGGCGAAGGCTGCACGTGGATCACATGTACACAATGCCGTCGAGGCTTCTGCTATGCATGTCGTGATCCCCGTTGTACGAGCCACTACTGCAATGGAAGGGTTCCTGAAATGCAAGCTGTTCGGAATGCCGGGGCTGCTGCCCTTTCCAGAGTTGCAGATGACAATGTTGGGCGAGAACTTGACGGCCTCGTGGATCGCTTGACCTAAGAGCGACACTTATGGTCTTGCTTCTTTTAAAAAGCAACAAGTCAAGAGCTCCTAGACACAGGCAAGTGCATTAGTATCGTTTAGATTATGAATACAACACAACTGGCTGTTCCGCTGTGAAGCTGCCTAGAGCTAGGCCAGGCTTCCGGTGTGGTTCCGTGAGCTAACCAGTCCCTTCCAGGCGTTCGTGAGCACTTGAGATTTCTATAGTATGGAGTAAACACGTCGAGAGAAAGTGTAAAAGTTACTCTGAAAGAGACAGAGATTTGTTTGTTCTTGGTTGGAGAGCTGGTACAAAGACGATATTGATGTATTTTTGGAATGGGTGGAAGGTTCAGTGGATGGTGCATTGCGCTTGACTCGAGCCCCTGAGTTTGTTGGGAACCCGGCTCCGGGCCAGTTGAAAGGACAGGTGTCTCGTGCGAATCTGGGCCGCCTTCTCGATGACTCCACCCCTGTCCTGCCCCCTGCTTCGACCACCACTGCTTCGATGTTTGGACCTACTCAGGCCCCCTTTGGCGCTTCCGAAGACGATATTGAAGCCATTTGCGAAATGGTGTATAGTTCGGCGATTGTTTCCACTCCTTCAATTACCATTCACTTCAGCACTCGAGCCGCTGAGTTTGATGGGACCCTGGGCTGGGGCAAGTGGAAGGTACGGGTGTCTCGATCGTGTGAACCTGGCCCACCTTCTCCATGACTCCACCCCTGTCCCGCCCCCTGCCCCGAACTCCATTGGTCCGGTCGTTGGCGCCACCCCGAACCCGTCTGATGGCCCTGCCCCGTCTGACGCCTATGTTGGAACCAAGAACGCTGGCAGCGTCTCGGGATGGCTCATTGGCCTTCTTCTGTTTGCTTTTTGCCAAGTTTTGGGTTTTCTCGCATTGATTTATATCATGCTCGAGATTCTCTCCAAGTTGCCTAAGAGTGACTTTGGCGACGACCTCTAGGAAGCTCACAGGAGCGGAGTGTCGCGCGGGATTTCTTCGTCGTGCCGATCAGCCCGTGGTCGCTATCTACGGTATAGCTAGAGACCATCCTTCAGTATTTATCTTCATTCTAGTTTCACCTGATAATCTGAGCTGTTGTCGTGTGTTGTAGCCCATCATGATATCATACCGTAGCTACCAGGTAGTACGTCGCCTGGACGACACGGTACTCACATGGATGGGTCTTGTTTTTGTATTACAGTATCAAGCTCCACTGTACCGGTATGTGTGCTTGTTCATGGCCTCCTTGCGGCCACGGTACGGTACAAAGCAATGCGGTTTTTATTTTAGCAGTACCGTAGTGACACGTTGATTCTTGCACATCCACAATGGATGGAGATATCAAAGATGCGATGGGTAACGAACCCCATGGTGGAACCATACTACAGAACGAGCAAACCATAGGCTTGGACGGCCGAATGAGAGGACGACACCGGTACCGCACGATACAAGTGCTTGGACGACCGGGTGATTGGAAGTTTACGGTATGATACAGCTCAACCACCCGCACTGACGGTGGAGAATCGGGTTTACTATGGATTAGAGAGAGCTAAGATGAGGATGGAGACAGAGGTCAAGGGGGGCACGACGCAGGAACGCAAGGCAGGCAATCAAGTGCGCAAGCAGGGCAACATGGAAACCAAGGATAGGGGTGAAAGCAGGAGGGCAGGGAGGAGCAAAGGAGCAAGACTAGCGGAAGAGATCGAGGGCACCACAGTCATCCCAACGCTTGGAAACCTTGAGAGCTGAGACACGGGAGCCTCTCAAACACAATGTCGTGGCACGGGCAAGAGCTATGCTCAACCTGGCCGAGATGAAAGAGCGAACCACAGAGTAGGGCTTGAACCACTTGTGAGCCAAAAGCTGGGAGAGCCGTTGGAGAACAGCAGTAGCTTCGGCAGCAAAGAGGCCATCAGCAGAAACAACAAAGGGGGTGAAGTGGCGGCGTTGTGCAGTGCACTCAGCCTGGTACTTCGTCTTCTTCTGCCTCTCCCGCTGAGAAAGGGCCTTCTCAGCAGTGACACCACGGTCACGACGACCAGGAGACTCAACATCCACGAGGGAGACATCGAAAATACAATCGGTACCTCGATGCCAGAACCCGCGAACTAGGAGGTCACCCCGATCTTGGACAACGGGATCAGAGGAAGTAGGAGCATGGGAAGAATCAGCAGAGTCAATCGGAGCCATAGCTGGGCGACCAAGAGTGATACGGGGTTCGTCGCGGACAGCAGAGGGCATGAAAGCCATGGAAGATAAATCAGCCAGCTCGCGCACAATTTGATTGTGGCGCTGAAGAAGAAGTCCACCGTGGGAGCAGGAGAAGGCATGGTGGAGACCAAACTTTTTCTTGCAGCCATCACAGTGGGGTTGGAGATCCGAAGGAGTCAGTCCATATCGAAGATGGAGAGAATCCCGAAACTCCAGGGGAGAGAGGACGGTGTCATTCTCTGGCATGGGGGTGACGGAGAGCCACGCCCCAGTTGAGCAAGCCCGTTGGAGACCCTCACGACGGACTGCAGGGGCAGCAGCCTTGATGGTGGCAAGAGTCTGTTGAGCCTCTTTCACACGAGATGCTTGAGTGTGAGCACGCGTGGCGGTCACATGAGCATCGTGGTCAGATAGACTAAAGGGGCTTGTAGAAGAGCCAGTGAGAGCCGTGGAGATTTGGATCGCCATGGCAACACTGGCTTCGTGTGAAGTGGCAGCTGTGGTAGTGGGATTGGGAATGCCCAGGCCACCGGCTTTGACAGGGAGAGCCGTGAGACGACGTGAAACAGTCAAAGCCGGGAGGGAATCATCGGGAGAAGGAGGATGGAAGAGACGAGGGAGAAACGTCTCGGCCAAGGCAGACTCAAGAGGAGTGAAGGCAGTAGCTTCACATTCATTGACTCGTTGCACAAATGTCCACTCATGTTGCAGTGACTTGGAAAGACCACAGTATGCAGACTGAGGAAAATTTAGGCAGGCGTCAGAGAGCAGGCCCAGGCGCCGAGTCCAATCAGACACCTTGTCCTGGAGCCAGGAGGAAAAAGCTGCTGTGGAACCAATGAAGCCGCCAAGGTATCGATGACCAGAGGTGAACTTGAAACCAAGGTTCGAAAGGTGGAGACAAGCAGCTTTTGTGCTGTCATCTGCCGGGGGAACAACTAGGACACACTTCGCCGCTTGGGGAAAATAGCCAAAGGGGGCTCCTTCGACTTCCAAACGTTTGTAGAAGTGACGGATATCTCGGAAAGAGCCAACTGCAGCACCATCATCAGCATACCCGCACTGACGGTGGTGTGTGAAGGCCCCGTTGCAGAAAAATGAGGATGACGTCATCCAAGGTTATGGAAGAAGAGCTGCGCCCAACATGAATGAGCGATAAGCGTTGGATGTCCATCATCTGATTTGACACTGGCACTCTCCACATGTAATGCTCTTGTAGAAGCTAACAAAGAATAAGTCCTATGCTATGAGAGGTTATCGATGCATATAGATACTTGTACTAGTAAGCCAACAATGGCAAGATGAAATCGTTGAGGCAGGTGATGCAACGCAACATTTTCTTCTCCATTCTTGCTCAGCAGTCCTGACGGAAGGGTTGCCTTTTAAGGTAGCTACAGCACTAGCTAGCTAGTGATTATCAGCATAATGGGTGAAAAGAAGAAGAAGGATAAGAAGGACAAGAAGAAGAAGGGCAAGGATAAGAATAAACCGAAGAATGTCGAGTCTAATGACGAAGTCTTTTCCATGATTAGTGACAGCGGACGGGACCTTGAGGACCCCTCTGTCATCAACAAGGACGAGGAGAAAAAGAAGAAGAAGAAGGAGAAGAAACGGAAAAAGGAGCAAGAAGATGCTGAAGAAAAGCCAGTGGAGGATGGCGTCAAGAAGAAAAAGAAGAAGAAGGCCAAACAACTCCCACCAGATGATACCTCTTTGGCTGCATTGGATGGATCTTTTTCTTCCATCATCCCACTGGAATCTACACTGGAATCGCCATCCTTTTTTGATTGGAAACAATGGCGGAAAGACAACAAAAACAACCACCAAAAGCCCACTACTGGTAATACCACCAAGAAGGTCGCACCTTTGGATAACACCCAAGTGTTTGACTGGAAGCAGTGGAGACACGATCAAAAAGCTGCCAGCAAGAAACCAAAACAGACTGCCACTACTACGCAACAACAACAACAACAACAACAACAACCACCAATGGAACCTGTCAAGACAAAGGGGAAACCCAAAAAGACAAAACAAGAAACACCAGCCAACAAGGCTCCACAAGCAATACCCAGGCCCAAGAAAAAGAAAAAACCAAAAGACAATGAGACTGCGTTGATGAAGATTTTGACAAGCAGTTCCAACAATTTGCAGCTATAACAACCAACGAATGAATGAATGAATGAATGAAGCCTTGAGTGATTGCTGGCAATTACGCTCTGTGCTACTCACTGTTGCTTCAACAAATCCAGCACATGCAAACTATACTACAGTGGCTCCTTGCATGGGTATTTCTGCAAGAGGTATCTATCTAAATCGAATCGAGAACCTCTGGTGACAAGATGCATACAGGCAGGAAAGTACCCCCGACGGTTGCTGCCTTTCAGCGAGATGCTTACCTAGCCAGCCAGCCAGCTAGCCAGTCAGACAGACAGACAACTACCTACTCATATTCTCTGAGCTACTAGGGAGCAACAATCAACACATTAATTTGGTTACAAAACTGGTGCGTGTATACAAGCAACAAGCAATGTATTCGTCCTCCTCCGCTTCCTTGCTTGTTGCGTGGCTGCTTCTTATCTCTAGAGTACTTACGTACGTGTTCATCGCTGTCAGTCGCAATAGGGAGGCCATTTGGTTCTTGTTGTTGTACCGTACGAACAGTGCAGGACAGTATTTGAATAGTATGGAGGGATTGTCCGTTCCCAGCCATGCCTCGATTTGATCTTGCCACAACGCTACCGTAATATCGTCGCGGCATCTTCTTTTTCTATTTCGCGCCTGCCATTGCCTACCGTACATGTACGTACTTGGCCACAGAAGCGATATATCGTCATGTGCTCGAGGCATTCATATTATTAGATCGCTCAGGCCAGCCATCGAATGCGCAGCTACAATCACCGACAACTCTTGACGCAGCCGTGGAACCTTCCTTTGAACCGCCAACATTGTGCCATGCCCTGGTGCTGGCTGCCCATCGTGACTTTCTATCCTACCCTCGCTAACTAGCTACATACATGTACAAAGACCCCCTTCCAACGATCCAATTCATTGCAAGATTCTGTCTGTTCCAACGCACATATCCATCATCAGGACCAATATGTTGATAATCTATTGAGATTGAGTGCGTGTGACCGTCCGTGCGGACGCAGTACTGGTAGCTAGTAGTTGGCGCATGCACCAATAATGTCTCCCATCCAACAATACTGTAAGCCCATTGTCCCCGCATTTCTATAGCTTTCGTGAAGGAGGACGGTTGCATGATTCGATTCGTTATCATGTGCAGATCCGTGCACGCACCAGCAGCTTTCAAGCAAGAAGGAACACTTTCGTACTACTATGATACAGTAATTCAGAGCATGCGGAAGAATCGAAAGCCCGAACACAGGCAATGGAAAACAATATCTCATTGAGCAATTTTAATTAAAAGGTCAGTGACAAGCACAACATTTCTTATTACCTGCTTCCGGAACTCTCGTTCGGCTTGGCGGCAAGGTGGAGGACGCAATTTTCAGCTGTTGGGTGGAATACCGGTACTGGTTGACATCATCATCATCATCATCATTGGCTTTTACAGCTAGCTAAAAAAGCAGATCGGTAGTATGCGTAAACGTACAGAGTTACCAAATACGCCCAAGCCTCCAATTCCTATCGTTTTAGCCAGGGTTGGAACCCAATCGATTGGTCTGCATGTAAATTGCAATCTATTGGATTGCAATCCAATTGCTGGCTCCAGGAACAATCTTGTTTGTTGGCTTGGTGATTGTGCTGACTCAGGATAGTATAGTGGACGTGGTCGTCGACGTCGACGTCGACGTCGACATTCTAGTATGATTACAGCTGTCTTGTTGTGCCATGGTTGAGCTGCCACCAAAAATTTGCAAAATATCTGGGGTCGGAAAAAGTGAGACTGTCACTCGACTCGACTCACACGTGGAATTGTGACCACCATGACTTGGAGGCTTAGAGAATCATGCTCTGTTGAGACGTGGAGCTGAAGGGCAAGTCATTGGAGATGCTCATTGTTAGGTCATATTTCAGGAGCACTTCTCTTGAACAGAGAGTTGCAGACTCATTTAAAGCACCAATATTGAGGCTTAGTACACAAATGTGGACTGTTAGTGCACTGACACGTGCAGCCCACATTCAGTCTCATGCTTTATTGAATAGCTGATATCTGGGAGGCCGGACACCGGCACCAGTATGTTGTACTCTACCGGTAGACAGAGGTGTAAGGTAGGTGGCGATCTGCGACGAGCTACTAGACCACTCACACCCAAATCAAATCGAATCAGCCCGTGCAATCATGTACAGTGTAGAAGAATTCCTTTCAACGAGAACTATGATGAGATTCCGCAAGAAGAACTACAATTCCGTCGCCCAAACGATGATGACCATGAATCCGTAGCCATGTTTGCGTTTTGATGGAAATGTACAGCAGCATGGCATGTACATACGTGTGACGATTCGCTGCGCATGCTGTGAAGGGAGTGTGGTCGATCAAAAAGCGCCCACGGGACAGGAACGGTATTCAATGAAGCTTCGTGGGGGCAGTGAAGCGAGGAAACAACAGGATGGAAGAGGCCAACATGCGTGCCAAGAAAGGGGCAAGACAAGGCAAAAGGCATGAGTGAGATCTAATCTGTGTTGGTCGAACATGGACTTGAACTGTGAGGTAGGAACAAGAAGGTTAGGCTCGGACAAATGAAGCAAGCAAGGCAATGGTGCACGGATGTCCAAAGTCCAACAAGGTTGAGAATTGAGTACGAATGATACCGTGGGAATGGTGCTGCCTGTGGAAGTGGCGGCCAACTATGAATGATCCGTGCAGATCCTACAGCCTATGCAAAACTACGAATAGTACAGTATATTACGAAAGTAGGAGACGACGCCACAAAGAGCCAACTCGCAGCGAAACCATGCAGATGACCAACCGACAGGGACAAGGCAGCCAACCGCCAACCAACCAACCGACACTAACACCGACCAACCGACCGCCGACCGACCACCTAATGACATGCTTGGAGCTGAGAGTTGAGCGACGTTGGAAGTAACCTGACCGAAATCCAAAGGAGGAGCGAGGACCGTGTTGCGAGACCCAAGACGAACGAATCATGAAGACTTGGACGATGAATCGGTGCTCTCGACTTGTTGCCTAAGTACAGAAGGCAGAATGGAAAACAAATGGTGAGACTTGAGCTGAAAGCAAAATGAAGAGCAAAGCACCAATTGCCGCATGCATGCATGCCACTTTGGTTCAGCGAAGTGGGGAACAACAGTCTTCTGAGAGTGTCTGCCACCCCCCACTTCCAACGACGTTTATGTTGACTCTCTCGAGCAAAGAACTACTAATGCCATGCATGCATGCAAAACTCGTGGACCGTACCTGTTGTGATTTGAGTTGCCGACAACCCAACATGCCAGCACGAGGACGAACCATCCCAAAGAGGAACCACCGCAAGACACCAGCCATTGTCGGCGAAGAGTGATCGTCATGCATGTCTTGGAGAGGAAGAAGAAGACTTGAACGCGACACCAGCTGGGACACAATCAGATCCAAGGGTCACGGAGCTCTAGCCGACAACCGACCAACCGACCGATCGACCAACCAACCAACAGTAGCATGGACATGTGACGTGGGAGTCTTGACGCGTCGTCGTGATTGACTTGACTTGACTTGACTTGACGAACGGGATAATGTGAACGGGATAATGAAGGCTTGGGTTGCATGATGACTTGTATCGGAGCGGACTTGACGATGAATGGACGTTTGCCACTCGAACACGAACGGTCGAAGCATCATTGTCAAGACCTACGTTGGGAACTAAAGGAGATTGAGGCGGCAACGGTCGATGACCGTGAAAAAGCAATGGCACAAAAGACAGGAACAAGTGGACTTACCTTGCATGAGGACGACCCACCCCACAATGGAACCACCGCAAGATGACTCTGGATCCGTTCAACCACACAGCGGTCCGCCGAGGGTTCATCAAAGAAGAACATCTCGAGGTACGTGAACGTGGGACTCTCAATACCGTCATTGTCATCGTCATGCGCCCACCCCAACAGGAACCACCGCAAGATGACTCTGGATCCGTTCAACCACACAGCGGTCCGCGCGAGGGTCCACCCGTAGATGCACATCTCGAAGCACGTGAACGTGGGACTCTCAATACCGTCATTGTCATCGTCATGCATATACGCCATTGTCTTCCAAGGGAATAAATTGTTTGTGGGACTTTTGCAGCTGTGCGAGAAACAAAGAGCTTGCTCGATGAAGGCGAACTGTTTCGCTTCGGCGATTGCTTTTCGAAACAGGATCAAACTCAAAAATCAAACTAACAAAATCAAACTTGAATGAATAGATTACGCCGAGTTATTACTACTAGTAGAGTGGTGAAGAGATGATGGATGCCATGACGTGGTTTCTTTGATTCGATTCTTTTTGTTTTTGACATCAAAATGTGGACGAAGTTTCATCAGTCATTTCAAAGTCATAATCAAAATAATCTTTTAAATCCCATGCAGAAACGGGAATTGAAGCAGGACCGACCAAAAGTAGTTGCATCTGTATGACCTCTAACCTTAGTGCTCCAAATCCCAACGGTCCGTGAAGGGGTGGATCGCGTTTGGATCTTCTCGCAAACGGTCTTGGAGGCATCTGATTGGTCAACGCGGCTTCAATTTTTCTAAACACCAAACTTCCTTGTGGCGCCAGCGTCCGAGACCGAGACAGCAGCAGCTTCGCCCCCAAAGATCCAACGCCACGATCCATCCTCTTCCTTCCGACAAAGCAGCACCACAACAGCAAGCACTGTACTGTACTGTACTGTACTGGTAATAGTAGAAGAAGACATACACACGACAATCAAGATGACGACAATGTTAGAAGAAGGAGCCGCCATGGACGCCCAATGTCCTTCATGGGCACCGAGTCTGGGTTATATGGGAGTCGCGGCCGCAGTGTGTCTGAGTAATTGGGGAAGTGCGGTGAGTCACGGCCGAAAAGTCAACAAACAATGCGTTAGCACAGATGGAAGGCGACAATGGCAACCCGACGGCAGCAGCGGAAAGGATCATACGTAGGAGGAGAGAATGGTCGAGGCATTGTGGTTGTCGGTGACGGTGGCTGTTGATTGGATGGAAGACCACTCCCCCTTTTTTCTTTCCGTTGATGCCCCGACTTTGGTCGCTTACTCACCCCCTTTTTGCGTGCTTCCCCCCTTTTCTAGATTGGAACTTGGAAGTCAGGAGTCAGCATTGTACACACTGGAATCCGCCATCCTGGCTCTGTCATGAAGAATGTTATCCCTATTGTCATGGCTGGAGGTAAGCTAGAGTGTATTCTGGTTAGCTAGCTCGCTTGCTAGCTAGCTCGCTTGCTAGCAAGGAAAATCAGATCTAGCTAGCCGTTGGGGTTCCGGATCCACCCAGCTTGGCTAGCTAGCCAAGACCTGCTTGCTATGACAATGTCTAACCTGTGTTTCCTCCCCCACACTTTTACCTTTTCATGTTCTACTAGTCATTGGTATCTACGGTCTCATTGTTGGAGTCATCCTGGCACAGTCCATCAGCAAACCATCGAATGAACGAGAGAATGCCTACAGTACCTTTTCCGGTTTGGCTCATTTGGCGGCCGGTCTGTGCACAGGAATTTCGGGACTTGCCGCAGGTATTTGCATTGGTGTGGTAGGAGACTATGGGATTCGAGCAGTTGGATACAGAGCATCCCAAATCACACTCTTTCCCACACAAAGTGAAAAGGAAGGATACGCCACCGTCCCGGATGCCGATGGTGATGGAGAGGGTATGGGTGGCGGTGGTGGTGAAATCAGCGGATCCGAAGATCAAAACAAACTATTCGTGGGAATGCTCATTATGCTCATTTTCTCGGAAGCTCTGGCTCTGTATGGAATGATTGTGGCTCTCATTGTCAGTCAGCATTCCTACTCGTGCGCTGTCAATTAACTAGCGATCGAGGTTTTTTGTCAGACATTGGTGGAACGAATTGCATTGAATCGAGTTGAATTCAATCAATCAATCAATCAATCAATCAATAAGCCATCTATTCGTTCCTTGTCATGGTCCAGCGAGCTTTCGGAATGGATCGTTGTGTGAACGAATCCACTCTTTGTTTGTGCTCTTCCTCGACATGGCGTCCTTGCCCCCGTATCTTTTTGACTGGAAATAGCAGACCGATCATTCGATTCGGCGCAATAGAACGAACTGCGAACTCAAGAAACCAACCAACCAAGACTCTTTTCGTTTGTAGCTCTCAACCAACCACCGCTTCAAAAGGTCACGTCAATATTTAAATCGTCGCTACTGTGCTAAGTATGCTTACATATATGGCTTTCCATGTAGGAACGCTGTGCAAAGCCCGGCTGCAAGTTACTGTCACGTGAACGGGGGCGGACGATGATGCTTTCGACGCGGCTCCCGTAGTCAATGTCAGCAACTATATATACTGTTGGGCCAGCCATAGCCCTGCGGACTGCACACCCTGATTTGGCTACAGCCATTCCTCGTCAAGTAGCGTCCTTTTGGCAAACAAGTGCGGGCCCCCTGCGAACATCGAACTTACTACCGTACTGCCGGACGAAAAGCTTTTCTTGATTGGAGGCTTCCCTCTCTCGCTGCCTAGATTTTTCCTGAGCCAACCGAGCCGACGGCAGCCACCTCCCTGGTATTAATAGTTGAGGGCAATCCACTACGGTACCGGTGTACTGTACTAGCATACTAGTAGTACTGCGAAGTACATGCTGTACAACATTTAAGGGAACTGAAAGGCTTAACGTGTTTCTTTGTCCACGCTGCGCGTTCAATTATAAGCAGCACAAAAGAGTTAAGATTCTCGTCCACGGTGTGCATGGGACTTACTGTACGGTACGGATTGGCATTTATTGTTGGCCAACAACAAAAACAACAACAACACAAACCTCAAACCTGTCCATCGGTCAGAATGGTGCCCATCTCACTTGAATATCTACCTTAATGAAAATGTGGAGAATCGAATCTCACTAATGGTGGTGTTTTGGAAGCATGGACAAACCAGTTGGACAAAATCCACGACGAGAAAACCCCTGTGGAAGGAGTTTTTGTTTCTTACTTGGAAGTCCCTACTCTTGCCGACTATCCTCGCTTCAAGAAAGCGCTTCTGAAGTTCTTCGACACTCTCTTGTCGAAGGAGCCCGGCATCAGGTGTTTCACTTCATCCTGGCCAATGCCAAAAAGCTGGAAATGACGGTCGATTTCCCATTGTACTGTCTCAATGAGGATGAAGCGAAGCAGTCATTGCTACAGCTAACCAATCCATCCAAATGCAATCTCAAGAGCATTCGATCAAGTAGTTCCTTGGAGCACCGTCTTGTCCACTTGGCTTCTGCCAGCTTGCCCAAATAAATGTTCAAGAAATCAAACTAACACCACTTGACTTTCGATGTGTGCGTCTCCAGTTTATTGACCTGCGAAAACTAGTCGAAATCTCCTTGCAGGCCAAGAAAATCAAAAAGCTCACAATTGGTGGCCACTTTTTCAGTCAGGTTGCCACAACGCCTGCTGATGCCTTATTCCACCCCTCCATCTTGAAATGTTTAACTGCACTCCTTCTTTCTGCGAGGAGCTTGGCAAATATTTGAAGCAGCCAACAAAACGTGACCATCTGGAAGCAGTCCCTTGGTCAAGAGTGGTAGCGGCGAACCTCGTTGGCAAAAATATCAATAACGGCTAATGGATTCCCCAAGGATACTAATCAACAGGCTGTCCGTGACATGTTCACCAATATTGCCGATGGCCTAAAGGTCAACCAGACCGTGAAACAATTCACCATGAGACTTACTGCAGCTTGTGTACCGGTACCTCTTACTACAGCTCGTGTAACTCATGCAAACGACGTAAAGGATGTGATGAAAATCTTTGCGGATGCCATGAAGCACAACTATTGCCTCACCAAGTGCAAATTGAACATTGGCATTTGGGTCCCTCGTCCTACCGGGCTGGGCTCAGATTATGTCGTTCTGCCTCTGGAATCATGGGATGCAACCCGCATGATTGAAATGTACACCAAGCTCAACCAAGATGGGCTCCGCTCCAAGCTAGAGCGTGAAGAATGCAACAATCCCCATCTTTGGACCCACGCTCTGGGCACCTTTGCCGATGACCTGGATTGTATATTCACGTACGTTGGTGCAGATCAATCCTATGTGTCTCTCTCAAATGGAGTCTTTGTGGAGGTAAGACTCACCCCAAAAGGTCTTGTTTGTTTCCCTGTTTCGTTTCGTCTCTGACCATCTGCGCGTTCATGCAGTATCTGGAGTGAGCGTTTCCGCTTGGAACAGCAGGCACTCGCACTTGCTCTTTTGGCGGTTCTTGTGGGGATGGCAATGGTCTGGATGGCGGAGGCTCTTGATCTTCTTTCTGTTCCGCCTTTTCTAGAGTTGTGTGGCTGGTGCCATTCGATTGATTCGATTCATGTTTTGGGCGACGGGACAAGATCCAAAACTATATGTGTCTTTTTGCATTTTATTTCTATTTAAATTCTCTACGGATTCTCGTTTGCTACCACTTGTTGGAATTGTTGATCGGGATCTGGTTTGGATCCACACAGTTTCCTGGTGCCCATGGCCAAGCATATTCCTAACAACGCCGCACCGAGAAAACATCCAATAATGATGAGTACTTTTTCCCATGTTTCTCGTAATTCTTGTGGTTCATCGTAGACTTGCGCGGTTGTATTAAAGGCTTGCAGTGGTGCCACTCCTTCGGCCAGTACGCCAAAGAGTCCCCACGAATTGGGTGTCAAATGCGGATTGAATTGCGCGATTCGAATGTATCCCTCTTCACCCCATCCAGTGCCCCAACTATTCTTGACTTTCCAATAGGGTGGATCGTGATCGTCATTGTATCCGACCAACAGCACGGCATGATCCAAACATCCCTCCAGCATGCTGGGCAAACAGGCACATTCACCATCGTCCGTCACGACACCACTTTTGTAATTGGACCATGTGGGACAATTGGATCGAACGGCAATGGCAACAGGTTGTCGGGCAATGCCCTGTTTCATTTTTTGCATTCGTGTCTCGTAGGAATCATCTCCAACCGAACCGTAAAATGTCACGGCTCGTCCCAATTGACTAGTGACGGCAATGTTGTGATTATCGGCAGCACATTCTTCCGTCGCTTCTCCCTTTTTTCCATCCGTAAAGGGATAGTCATTGAGGGTAATCGTGCCACCGTATGGATTGTTGTTGGCGTAAAAGAGTGCCGATGCGGGGAATCCTCCATTACACCCCAGATTGGATTTGTCACACGAAATCAATTGTTGAAAGGAAATGGATTGCAAATAGGTGAAATTGGACCAAATGGCGGCGGCCCCTTCAATGGCCCCGGCGACACTAATGCTCCAGCAACAGCCGCAGCGGCCTGCAGTATCGATAATACACACACAAAAGAACAATACGTCAGACTGATGATCCCTATCTTATCAGGATATCCGGTCCAATTCATTCGTTTTGAGTTGATTGACGTACCTTGATCTTTAACGGACGTGACGGCTCCTCGTTGGACCCAATCGATTTGTCGTGGCAATTCCAATTCTTCATCGGCAGCTTCCAATTCCATGGCAATCAAGAACGATAAAATGGTAGCACCATCACTGGGTGGAATATACCCTCCCAATCGTTGCGCTTCGGCTCTTGTATCGGCACTGTATTCATTGAGTGCGAGTGTATAGGACGGTTTGGGAACTTGTAGATTGTGTTGCGTCACGTATTTGGCCACACCCAACAAAATGTGCAATCGGTCTTCACTCGATACGTCTGGGTCTGTCCAGAGAGGTTGAAAAAAGCGTTCAAACAATGCCAACTTGAGTTCTTTTATTGGCGCACAAAATGTCCCATTGCTTAGTCCCGCATTGGTCAAGTTCAAGGTCGCTACCACGGTCGTCAAATTGTCGTCTTGCGTCAAACTCAAAACTTCTTCGGGCAATTCCACGTAGTCTTGCAGACACGACGAACAGGAATCTTGATAACACGCTCGAAACAATTCGGACGCACATTCCGTCGTCTTGACAGAATCGCATTCATAGGATGACACATTCGTAGTAAAGTCGGGTAAATCGATGCTAATAATAGAGCTATCTTGGGTAGATGCCAATGGGGGACATTGCAGCAGTTGCAACAGATACAGCAGCAATGGCAGAGACCATCCGAACATCTTGACTATCTCTCTCTCTCTCTCTCTTTCTTTGTGCACGGTTGTCAAGGTCAATGGATAGAAGTGCGCAGTGGATCTAGCTAATAGTTGCGGTGAAGAAAATAATGAGGGTCCAACAGAACTGACCGTTGCATTCGCAAGTGAAGGCAAAGCCGCTGGATCTTTTGGTGGACTGGAAGAGGTACGTTAGGGTCATCTTACGGTACCGAACTGGGATCAATGACTGGTGGGATTGACTCACACAAGGTTAGCGTTTTTATAGATATCGTCCCAAAGAAAACCGATCCCTCTTTGCCACTTCTCTACTTCTACTGCATGGTAGCATACCTGTGTCGACCGTGTGCCATCAAGGGTCTTTCCCTTTTAAAATAAAGGCACTAGCTAGGGGATACCTGGCACTTTGGTGTTGTTTGGTCGGCCTTTCCAGAAAGAGTGCAAGGGAGTGGGATATACAGTATCGGGACTTTTCGATCGAAGTGTACTGCAGGGGAAAAGATCAATACTGGAAGCACAAGAGTTTCTACAGCAACTTGACCAGCTGGACAAGATGTTTGAGCTTATTCATAGAGAGCAACTATGTCATAGCTAGTCTAGTTATCACTACGGCCAATGTACTGGCAAGGCTGTTTCATGGCTCCATGGTTGGATCCCTAACTAGCTAGACAACTGGGAAATCGTGTCTGGCACACGCATCCCCAAAGTACAAATTGGTTTGGAGCACGAAGGCCTTCCAGGGGCTCGTCACCACAGAGAACTTTTTTGGAGCGATGATTTACTTACTTGATCGATCCTGTCAATAGCTGATTGCGATGGATTCACTGACACATTGCCAAATTGTCCTCCACAGAAAATAGGTTCAGAACGACATTCGCCTTGTCTGGCGGGGCCCAGCCCTGTGTGCACTGGTATTCGTGTTTTGCACCTGAATAGCATTCCAACATATGAAACGCCAGAGAAGAGCCATTCAGAATTGGCAATTTCTCTCTCTGTCCCTTTCCTCCAGAAATAACTTCTTCGCTTCTGCTGTTGCGACCGTGCCTGTCGCACCTTGACCGCTTCCTTACTCAAGAAACGCGCTGCCAACACTCGGGTGCCAAACAGCCAGGACCAGCTCATCCGGCAATTCTTTTGTCCTGCACTGTCGTTCGCGACAATAGCTCTCCCAGCTTGTTTGTGCCGTCACCCCGGGAAGCCGGCATCGTCCGCACACAGCACAAAATTCTTTGGCATAACCCATTCTTGACATGGAGCGAGCCAGACAGATTTTGTCAGCATTGGTCACCTGATCAAGGATTCTGTTTCTGGCTTCTTCTGAAGGGCAAAATAGCCATTTGGCCCCCAAAACCTCTTGCCTAACTTCAGTTTGCTCGGATTGTAGTCTGAACAATTGCAGTTCCCGGTCTCTGCGTTTGCAGGTGGTGTGCATGATTTGCTCCAGCATTCAAACTTGGCGCTCAGACTAGCTTCGTCAATCTCCTTTAGCTCTCGTGTTTTTTTGGGGGGGGGGGGTTCTTGCAGGGATGCGTGCATTCTGTTCTGAGACTCGTTCCAAGGCACGCTCACGCAGATGCTTGTCGGCATGTGCCATGGCTTGTTGCTTATGAATGTGAGCTCGCAAATCGACAAGACCAGTTTCAGGGTCTACCGACACTTCCGGAGGCACCACTGTCCTGGAACAGCGGTCCGAGATGTTGTCCCAAAAGAAATGATCGGAAGGTGTGCAGCCACATCGTGCTCCCGGAGCACCACAGCTGTAACAGAATAGAAACTGATTGATAGAAACAAAACTGCAAAGAGTGAGAACTCCAACTGAGGAAACACTGACCATTTGAATAGCACCTATGTACCCACAGAGACACTCCATCATGCCCCCCCAGCTCTTCCAGCTCTCTGTGATGGTTGTACTGGTCCCTTCAGCGTTCCACATGCTCTGGATTGCAAACGTGGCGGTTTAATCATCCGGCGCCACAATGAAATCCGCAATGAACTTGGTTTGATTGCGTGTGAATGCTTTGGTTCCTCCAGTGTCCAGTTGGAACCACCCCTTCCATCTGTTCCAGCCCCTACCATCCCTGCCGGACACCCTATTTCAACCTTACCTCCGCTTCCTCCCCCCTCTCAATCCCCTCCAGCCCCCGAGCTCTTGCGCGGTGATCTTTCCATTCGCGGCTTGTTTGAACGCGGTACTACTGCTATTATTGACGTACGTGTCACAGATTTAGACTGTGCCTCTTACCGCAACAAAGATCCCCTCAAAGTTTTAACCCAACAAGAACGCGACAAAATATCCAAGTACAAAGAAGCGTGCAAGTCCAATCGCGCTTCCTTCCATCCTTTTGTTGTTTCAGTGGATGGCATGCTTGCCCCCCAAGCCAAGATTCTCTTACAACGGCTTGCTTCTGCTACTGGAACGGGAGGTAAGGTGGAAATTGATCCACTCCAAGTGAGCTTTAGAGCAATAACACTAGTAATGCTGCTTCAAAGCCCAACTTGGTGTGCCTTCTAGTTCTAGCACCATAGGCACAGTCACAGGCTAGTCCACATGAGCTGATGTTGTAGGTCACTGGAAGTAGCTCTCGAGTAGCCCACAAGATATCGATTCAAGAACTTATTGTATGAAGATCTCACAGTCTAGCTGTATGGACGAAATGTGTGCCCAAGATACAGGTAGTCTTTTCTGTACTGACTCAAGGAGAAACACCCATGCAATCTCACCGCAGAATCCAGTCGCAGAATCCTGACTTTTAAAAAGAATTATCATAAATTTATCATACTATCAGCCGTTTGATGAGCGGTTTTCGGTACATGACTGGAGTATGACCAGCCCTCGAACACGAGGACCTTGGAATGGACGACTGAGACTCCACTGATATCTGCACTCCTCACTCACCCTTGAGATAAGTTGGTTCAAGATACCGAGAACTCAACTTTCCAGAAATGTTAAGAATAACCCGGAGCTACGAGTACCGAGGTCTCAAATCCTTAGCTAATACTAATACTATGTGGGAATGCGCTATCTTCCACATCACTATCCACATCCAAGTACTCCATATCCGCATCTTGGGGTGCCTTCTCCAGGTAGCACAACATCTTTGGTTTCATCAATTTTTGCTGCGCACCTTTGCCTTCTTGGGCTTTTGTGGTGGCTCCTAACTGTCTGAGGGCATGGTTTGTAGTAGGGGTATATGACAATAGCTGCTAGTGGCATTAAGATATGAAAGATACCTGAGATGGGGCTGCTTGTAATAACTCAGTGTGGATGTGCTGAATCATTCGATTCAATCCTTTTTTATTAAAAGATACCTCCAGTACTGGAGTAAGAATATAGTTATCTTATTGACGAGGTAGGCGTGTACTGTTACAGAGACTGGAGTCGAGTCGAGTCTTGTGCCTCCGTCTCGATCTTCTCAATCTGCCTCAACCGCCATAAACCACAGAACAGTACCACCACAATGGCAGCTCAGCTGGGGGCTCAGGCTGCCAACCAAGTCTTGACCGAGGCAGCTAGAGGACTTGCATATACCCAGAGAGACCAGTACAATGAAGATGACATCAAGGAGAGGCTGCTCAGAGATCTGGAAATCATCAAGGAAGATACAAAGGCGCTTCGGAATGCAGATTTCAAAACAGCCAGAGACGCTCTCCGGGTTGTCCTAGCATCCAACGAATCAATTACTAGCCCCACAAATCTTCGTAGACTGCGACTTGTCCATGACTGTGCTTCCAAGGCATGGAATACTGTTCCAGACCCATTGGATAAACTTTCGGCATTGTCCTTCCTTGTTTTTAGCAACTACCACTTGGTTGCAGTTGAGTCTGCTGCCACTGCTGTTGCCAGCAACAACACTGGCATCACTCCCAATTGGACCGCAGGAAAAGCGGAAGCATGTTCTCTACTTGCACAATATGTGGGCTACAGTGATTTGCCACAATTACACAAGGCAGCGGAAGAAGAAGTTGGCACATCAAGTTTCCGTTTGTCTGTCTTTAAGGACAAGACCAAACGCCGGAAACTGCTGGGGCTCTATGCCCAGCTCATGAGCAATGTTTGCAATCTCTCTCCGCCGGCAAATACCCATGGCCTTCCAAAATTGGAAAACGTGAATGCAGCACTGCTAAGATCTCAGCACAAAATTGTGGACGACCATACTTGTTACTTAGGATTTCTAAAAGGCACATCACAACTTCTTCGGGCAACCTTGATGGGACACACTGACTCAGTTTTGTGCTGTGCTGTCTATGAAAATGGGAAGAGAGCCCTCAGTGGAAGCAATGACAAGACATTGAAAGTGTGGGATCTCACCACTGGAAAAGAGCTCAAGAAGTTGCAAGGCCACTCTGGCTCAGTAAAGTGCTGTGCCATCTATCAAAATGGCAATCGAGCCATCAGTGGAAGCTGGGACAAAACATAGAAAGTGTGGGATCTCACTACTGGAAAAGAGGCCATGACCCTTGGAGGACACGTACCTTTTCTACATGGACACGCACATTTTGTAAATTGATGTGCTGTGTATCAGAATGACAAGAGAGCCCTCAGTGGAGGTGACGATGCATTGAAAGTGTGGGATCTCACTACTGGAAAAGAGGTCATGACATGGACACAGAAACTATGTATATTGCTGTACTATGTATCAAAGTGGCAAGAGAGCCCTCAGTGGAAGCAAGGATGGGACATTGAAAGTGTGGGATCTCACCACTGGGCAAGAGGTCATGACCTTGAAAGGACACAGAAATATTGTATATTGCTGTACTGTGTATCAAGAAGGTAGTAGTGGGAAGCACATACTGAGCCTGTGCAACTATTGTTGCAGAAACGTACTAGCTAGGTACTACCGGTAGCTAGCTAGTAGTCCAGTAGTATTCGTAGAGCCTTGGACTGCCGGAACGGATCTGTGACGTCAGCGTGTCAAAAAAGATACCGAGAATAGAGTATATCTTTGGTCAAGATCCATGGGTGCCTCCAGTCACAAAATCTGGCAGGTGTGGTCGAGGAAGACCTTTGTTAGAGCAACCTGTGCAGCACTGGTACCATACCACCTGTGTATTGCCATGATGTCCAAGCGAACCCAATCCCCTTCGTCGTTGCCTTGGAAGGCTGTGCTGTTGGGTGGCATCTTTGGCAGTCTCCTGACTTCCTTGGTCACTAGAAACAACAATGCAGGAGTTTTTGTGCCTTGGAAGGGCCGTCTGCTGTCTGTGGAGCCTGAAGAAGCTCATGGCAGCAGCTTAGAAGAAGAAGAAGAAGAACTGGAAGGATTCCTCTTGGATTCTGCCATTGCCGTGATAACGCTGGTGTTGCTGCTGCTGACTATTTTATTCGAGACCATCAAGGAGGGAATCACCGAGAGAGCCGAGCGTTCGATGGAACCCGTGATTGAAGGCATGTTTGGAGAACTGACGGTTCTGGGATTCTTGTCCATGATTACAACTTTTATGGTCAAGTTGGGATGGTTTGGAACACTTGCGGACCACGTGGGCTTTCAAGAAGAGGAAGAAGAGCTCATGGAGATTTTCGAAGCGGTCCATTACATGCTCTTCTTTATCATGGTATTCTTTGTCATTAACGTACTCGTACTCATGTACGGTGGAAAGATCAGGTCCAAAACATGGTGGCTCTACGATCAGGGATGTCGAGACAAAAAGTACATGAAGCATTTGGATGCCGTCTTACAAGCCAAATCAGCCAAGGAAAATCAAACCACGTTTTGTCAGTATTTCGGCAGCGCATTGATTCCTTGGCGCTCCTACTCGAGTCATCAACTACGATCCGAACTGCAGTTGTTTCGGGGCCTGCGTCATGAATTTGTACTCGAGCGGAGCTTGGAACCACCCTTTGCCCCCAATGCGGCATCGGACGATGTGGGAGACGAATTCCAGTTTGGATCTTATCTTACCATTTGTCAATCACACTATCTCGCACACATGGTTCATCTTTCCAGACCCACTTGGGTCTTTATGGCGGTGGTTACCATCATCTTTTATGCCATTGCCATTGCCGTAGACAGCAAAGTGGAGGTACGTACGTAAGATGATGAGAGATCCTAGAACATATGGCAACCGAGTCAATCGACAATCGCTTTCTCACATGCATCTTGCTTCTGCCCTGCGTACAAAATTCAGCCTTTTGCATGGATTTGGGCTGGCACCGGTTGGTTGGTCTTTGTGCTGGGATCCTCCTTTGATTATCACATGGTACAATTGATTACTTGCATGGCGTCCCGCTTTCCAGAAGATACTACCACTAAACCAGCCGGGGAAGATCGAGCCTTGCTGTCGACTTCTAGTACGGCTTCGCTGCCACAGTGGACCGCCATTGACTTGGCCCAGTACTTGGCGGAACGCCCACTATTGTCCAAATGGCTCGTTCACACCAAACATACTCCCACACGACAAGACACTCTATATTGGTTAGGCCGAAAGGGTCCCAAGCTATACACCATCCTCTTCCAGATTCAAATGCTCTTTACAGCAGCCTACATTTCCTTGCTCGTCTTAAAGTTGCTGCCCTACATGCTCTGGCAATCCCAGCAGATCAACACTGTGGAACGAATCGTCTATCCCATTGTGTCCCTTTTGCCCGTCTATTTAATCTTGAGCAAATACCAGGTGGCAGCGGCCAACCTCACCATGGCTTGCAGTGTCGGAGTACATCGCAAACCTCATATCATTTCGCAAGTCAACCGAGCCTTCAAGGTTGGAAATCTCATTTATGCCGTCGTCCTCTTGCACAAACTGCAACTGGCTGCTCATGGAGATTTTGCCACACCTTCCACTGGCAGCGGCGGAAAACGGGCCATGTCGGAGGAGGAAATGGCAGAAGCCATGGCAGATTTTGACAAAATTGACGCGGACAAGAGCGGCACCCTGTCGACGGACGAAATTGGCAATTTGCTAGAGTTTCTGGGCGCCAAAGTTACAAAGGAAGCCCTGGCTGCCATTGTGAAAGTGTTGGACAAGGATGGATCCGGTAGTATCAGCCGACAAGAGTTTGCCGAGTTCTATAGAGATCACATTATGATTGAACTGGACGATCATAATCTCCACAAACTGGCCAAAGAAATGTTTGGACTATTGGATGCGGACGGAAATGGAGAAGTCACTTTGACAGAGCTCAAGACCGTGCTGGATTCGTATCAAGTAGGAATGACTTTGGAAGATATTGCAGAATTGATCAATGAAATTGACGAGCAGGAGAATGGAACGATCAGCGAACACGAGACGGTCCACTTGCTCAAAAAGCACCGTCACTTGTTTGATCGCACACCGCTGCCCAAGTTGGAGTGAATCGAATCCAACTTGACTGCACGAGGAGAAGAAGCCAACATGAGCAGTTGCACGTGCATGTACCTGTGTTCAAAAGACTCTGTGTTGACTTCTTTATTCTAAAAGTGTAAACGTGACAGCACTCCATGTATTCTCGACTCCTTGCCCTCACAGTCTCGAGCTAGACAACAGGTACTACAGTAGCTAGAGAACACATGAATCATTTGCGAACGAGCGTCTTCAGAGTCTTATCTCATGAACAAACGTACACTGCAGGCTTCAACAGCTGTGATTCAACAATGCTGCGCCTCATGAACGTCACCCCGCAGTTCTAAGATCTATCTCCGTGGATCCGCAAAGCCATCAAGCCCTTTGGCCCCGTAATGAGCCATGATCCTCAATTTATCGCCCCTGATCCCACCGAACAACCTAGTCCTGAATTTCGACTCTTCTTTGCTAAAGTCTGGCCCTTGCTGGCTTCCGTTGATACTCCACCAAGTACGCCAAACCCCTGTTTCCTCGATCTATCTTCACGAGTTCCATTTCTGACCTGCACGATTTGTTCAGAAGCAGCGATGACGAGGACTATAGACACTTCCCGCAAAGCGGGCGGACAATGTCTGCGGACGACTGCGAAGGATCGCCAAAAACTTACCAAAGACAACTTCTATAGACAACATCTATAGACAACTTCTAAAGACAACTTAGCGACAACTGATGACACCATCATGAAAATGGCTCACCTGCTTCCGAGTGAGGAGGACGACAGTGGATTCTCCCGGAGATTCTCTCGTGGTTGCCATGCAGGATGACATGAGCACAGCGGCTCCATGATGAGCGCTGGAAAATGCAGGTTCATCGTTCCGCGTGCAACAAGCTTCTCTCGTGTTGGCCATGCAGGATGAAATAATTGGCACAGGACTCCCATGATGAGCCCTGGCTGCATTTTGCGGGTTCATCGTTCCGCATGCAACATGCCAAATCGGACTACGATGCTGCAGACCCCAAAAGCATCGGATGCTAGTGTCACAGCTTATTGTCACCCACATATCAGACTCGACTCGTGAGTTGCTCGACCGAGGATAGCGCAGTGCTCGCAATGAAGGAACTGCGACAAAAAATGATTTGAGGTGTGCCGGTACCAAAAGCCTGACCCCCGAGCCCGTGCTAGAAATGGCCCAACAGAGAGAATATGGAACAACAGGGAGAATATGCAGTACATTCCAGTACATTCTCTACACAGGGTGGCATGCACCCTTTTTGGTCTGGCCCCCCACCCTTCTCATAAATCATACTGTACGCAGCTCTGTGTACATTTCTACTGGAGCTCTACTGATATTCTCCCTGTCAGTCCAATTCTCCCTGTTGGGCAATCCCTAGCGTGAGGGGAGAAAGAAGTGCACAGAGACTCTGTGAACTGTAACCTGCATGAAGCAGCTATGAAGCTTAAATCTGTAGGGTCTTCTGAGGTTGAAAAGGCCTAATAGAGAGTTCACAGACACTCATAGTGGAATGCATCATAAATCTGACGTCCAACTATGTATAATGCATACCGTACCATGTTCTGTACTGCTAGACTCCCGCCTACGTACTTGGTGCATGTGTGCCTCGATTCGATTCGATTCGTACGACTGCCACAGTTCGCTGCAAAATTGCATGCGATTCACTATTAGACTCTGTTACCAGTACATGTACATGTAGCAAGAACGGACCCGAAACGTTTGCTCACCATCCACTGCTCATAATTTGTATTTGGTTCCAACCAAAGCAAAACAAAGCAAAGCAAAGCAACACTGTCTTACCATCTTTGCACCAAGCTCACAAATATTCTTTTGCAATCATTCAACCCAACTTTCGACATGTTCTTTTCCAAGCAGTTTGTCATTCCTCTGGTTCACGCCTTGTCATTTGTAGTTTCTTCTGGTCTTGAAGAAGATATCTTGACATTCCCCACCCTTCGTGGACGAATTCAGAGCTCAAAACCAAGTGGCTTTGACGAAATGCCCAACCAGAAAGGCCAACACCGCAATCTCTTGACGACGCTGCACGATGAAAGCTGGCAGTGGGGAAACCGCGGTGCCTTTGTCCGGAGAACATTTGGTGCTCAAGTCCCAGCCAATAGCTACGTTATCTGTACGTTTGTTGGCGAGGCTAGAGAAGATTGTGATCTGTTTGCTGATATTGAAGCCTCGAGCAATTGGCGAAGAAGCTGCACTTCCAAAGTTGGATATGGAGCCGGGGAGTTCGAACAGTATTGTAGCTTTGCCGTTTATGAAGACACATTGATTAAAGCTGAACTGGATCCAGACTGCAGGAGCAGTGCCCCTGAAGATTCTGGCTTTGACTTAACAATAACCTGCGCCACTGAACCTTTCACTGAGATTTCAGCAGGCGCTGATGTTGGTTTCACTTTGGAATACCTACATGAGCAGGTCAACTACTTCATCTTGCCTGATGTTGATGCAGACATGGTCGTTGCATGTGCCGTTTCCGAGACTGATACAGGAAATGCCATTGACATCAACCTGCAGGTTCAATCCCGTAGCAGAGGGAGCGACCAATGCACAGGTTCAACCTCCAGCACTGGCGTCGAAGCCTGTTCTATGGAGATGACAACTTCCGGTGATATCCTTGTATCTGCTACTGCAGTGGATATGCCGGCATCTTCAACTGTTGCATTTGCCCTTCGTTGTGATATCGATACAAAAGCACCTTCAGCTGCTCCATCTGGAAGTCCATCCAAGCACCCCTCGGCATCTCCAAGCCAAGCGCCAACTGCCTCACCAACATCTGCTCCATCAAAACAGCCCAGCAAAGAACCAACCGAAACCCCCAGTGACAGACCCTCTGGAAGTCCATCCAAGTACCCCTCAGCATCTCCAAGCCACACGCCATCTGTCTCACCAACATCTGCCCCATCAGAACAGCCCAGCAAAGAACCAACCAAAGCCCCCAGTGAAAGCCCCTCTGGAAGTCCCAGCTCTACGCCAAGTGCTTCCCCAAGCTTGACCCCCTCAGTGCAGCCAAGTGTCATGCCAAGTTCTACGCCAAGTGTAGCACCATCAGATAGGCCAAGTACTGCACCATCTGTTGCACCAAGCATGCTCCCATCAAGTTCTCCATCCGCTGAGGATTGCAGTGATAGCCAAATCCTCTGTGCTGATGATAAAGTTCCTGTTTGTCGTATCAAGACTAACAAACCCAAAACCTTGTGTGTGCCATTCCAAGCTGCTGCATCTCTCATCTTTGATGCTGATGCCAAATGTGGCTGCTGCTCTTTGGCTGATGAGCCCAACCGACCCGATTATTGCCCATAAAGGAAAGAATATGCATAGTAGGATCATCCCTCATGAACAGTGGACTTCTTCTAGCTAGTTGGAGCAGCATGTTTAATAATCTAGCAATGAAAGTCGTTGGTTTGGTTAGCCTCACGTTTGACAGCTAGAAGCAGTAGTGGCTAAAACGGATTATCCGATATGGCTTGTTGAAAGTTCAACTCCTGTTGAGGGTGCAGAATTAGCTTGGAAGGGATGTCTCATCGCGTGGAGCGCCATGCTGCAGTTTCCGAGATTTTGCATGAACTGCAACTTTCTCTGGCAGCCAAGCCCAAAAAGCCTGACCATCGCTTCGGCGATGGCACCATGCTGTTGAAACGATCTACGTGCTTCCTCATTGAGTCTCCTGGCCTGGATAGCATGCATACGTACGGAACCCCTGTCCCGATTGCCAAAGATTAGTGGCCATCCCCGCAGCCAGCTAGCTTTCTAATTGGGGGCGATGATGGCCTCGTATTCCTCCTAGCTAGTAGTTTAAACAATATCCAGCAAGGAGATACCATATCCCATGCACGAGACTACAACAAGCTAAACCGCGGGGTTCCGATGATCTGGCACGGGCCCCCAGTTCTTTCTTTACTCATGCATGGGCGATCTACTAGCTAGATGATTAAATTTTCTTGCAAGGAGGGACGACCTTGGTTGACCTCAACACTGCAGTTATATATTCCGGTACGGTACGATCATGGTGTGTATCTGCAGATCGAACGAGCGGAGTCTATTTGTTTATTGTGCCCACAAACTTGCCAAATGCTCTTCCAACGTTGTCATTGAAAAGTGGGGAAATGTTTCCTCCACTAGACTTGCTGTAGTTGTAGTAGTATCCGGATCATCATCATCATCATCATCACAGGTGTATCCGTGCTGATCAAAATGCACCAGAAGCGGAATAACTGAGGAGAAGCGATGGTGTTGCCAATTGTAAATGGGAAGTGCTGCCTGAAAGAGATAAAAGGCGGGAAATTTGGGAACGGCCCGAATGGTGTGTCCACTGGCAGCACTGAGGCAGTCTTCCACTTGCGCTACCGAATAACTCTGAGCACGCGTGAAATTGAGTGGCTTTGAAAGAATCTTGTGGGGGATCAGTAGTTCCTGAAGGACAAAGCGAGACACGTCCTTCTGGCACGTGTAACAGATCCTGGCATCTTTGCGGATGGGAAATAGGTAGATGCCCTTGTTGAGTAGTTCGATTCTAGGATCAATGGCATCCTGCATATACGTGCCACAGCGAAGAATGGAGCAGGATAAGTTACTGTGGCGCAGCAGTGTTTCAATTTCGTACTTGGCATTTAGAATTCCCACTCTTGGCCGTGGATGATCGGCTCCCAAGACGGATGTGTAAATCAAGTGCTTCAATTGTGCTTTCTGGGCTCCAGCAATCACGGCCTTGGCGGCATCCACTTCGGGTTGCGTCTGATTGCAGGTGGACATGGGTGTCAGCACAAAGGCAGCATCCACTCCTTCCATGGCGCTGGCGACGTCGTCCGGATTCATCATGCTGCCCAACACCAATTCGACACCCTCGGGAAACTCTTTCGGTCGTCTTGTCAGCAAGCGAATACGGACATCTTCTGTTTGGTGTGCCAGAAAGCCTTGGATATAGACCGACGCAACGGGGCCCGAACAACCAATGGCGGCAATGGTGATTGTCATAATAATAATGCTTATTGCAATGTAATAGAGGAATGAATAGATAGATGGATCTTCCTTGGATCGGTGCTCTGCATATAGTCTAACTTGAATTTGTGGGGTGATCGCGGTTTTTTGAGATGGTTCACAAGACTTACCTGCACAAGAACCAACTGTGACTTGGAAGCTCATGGAACAGCAAGGCAACGCGCCTCCGATGATTTCACCGCGAGAGGAGAAAGTTGTCACAGGATACAGTTAGTTGTACGCTTTAATCCGGCGAATTGGCTAACATTCACTGGTTCTTCGAAGACCGCTCTCTCTCTCCCTCCGAAACAAAGAGGTACAGTCCCGACTCAATCGCAGTCGTTGCACTGGCTCCTGGCTTGCAGTCATGCCCGATATTGCCAAACGCACTCACCTCTCTGCTCAAGAATGGCGTGATGCTCTCTTTCTCCGATTCGGTCTTACCCCCCAGCTCTTCCAGCTCTTTGTGATGGCTGTACTGTCCCTTCAGCGTTCCACATGCTCTGGATTGCAAACGCGGTGGCTTAATCATCCGTCGCCATAATGAAATCCGCAATGAACTTGGTTCTATTGCATGTGAATGCTTTGGTTCCTCTAGCGTCCAATCCGAACCACCCCTTCCATCTGTTCCCGCCCCTACTATCCCTGCCGTCACCCAATTTCTACCTTACCTCCCCTTCCTCCCCCCCCTCTCAATCCCCCTCCAGCCCCCGAGCTCTTACGTGGTGATCTTTCCATTCGCGGCTTGTTTGAACGAGGTACTACAGCTATTATGACGTACGTGTCACTGATTTGGACTGTGCCTCTTACCGCAACAAAGATCCCGTCAAGTTTTAACCCAACAAGAACGCGACAAAATTTCCAAATATAAAGATGCGTGCGAGTCCAATCGCGCTTCCTTCCACCCCTTTGTTGTTTCAGTGGATGGCATGCTTGCCCCTCAAGCCAAGACTCTCTACAACGCCTTGCTTCTGCTACTGCCTCCAAAACTCATTTTCCTACTCTCAAATGATGTTCTTCATGCAGACCCGTATCTCCATTGCCCTTGTGAAAGCTACCCATTTATGTCTCCGTGGATCCCGCAAAGCCAAACCCTTGCCCCCCGTAATGGTCCTCAATTTCTTGCCCCTGATCCCACAGAACCTAGTCCTGAATTTCGACTGTTCTTTGCTTAAGCCTGGCCCCGGCTGGCTTCCGTAGATAATTTCCCTACTCTAAAACCCCCCCTTGAAGAGGTACAGTCCGGGTACCAAGGTTATGGGTGACCTCCGCAATTGCTTGCTAGCTGGCTAGCTAGTAGGCATGACGAGCCACAAAGCCCCAGTACCTACCTACCGTAGGAGCACAAATAAATGTGTTCATGATCGTAAGACCATGTTCGATCGAACGTTCTCACTGGCCCCGGTTGCCGGATTTTCCACATCTATCCATCGTGTCATCATCTGCTTTTCTCTTGTCTGGCTACGACAATTTTCCCTCTCTTCCTCATCCCTTCGAATCCTTCTTCCCGTTTCTGGGAACTCAGTCGAATCGAGTCGAGTCGAGTCATGCTATAAATCGGGGTGTCGGTCTGTTTCGAAGCCCAGTCAAGCAACCTGCTACTTTCCACCTGATTGGTGCATGTAGGGCTACCGTCCCGTACCTACATATATAACTACGATACACCGAATCTATATAAGAGACTCTTTAGATTCGGTTGCTTATTCTACTCTTTCAAAAAGACGATCGAGCATTGATGTGATGGAAAAGCAATGAACGTGATTTGTTATTTTCTGGCGCATTATTAGTTCGAGATTTCGTATGATATGTGTGGATTGCTTGGATATTGCCTTTTATTGAAATAGCGGGCATGTTTGGTTGCTGTTTCTCCGTAGTATATCTATTCTCACAACCTGTGGTTTTGCTCTGCTGCTGCGGATATACGTATAGTATTATCATGTCGTAGTAGTAAGTTTGACCTCCTTTTCCGAGAAATGAAAGGTGAATCCGACCGGTATCTTGTAGTCTGTTTGGGCTTCCGGATCAAATTTGACTTGAATGGGATGACTGGCACTCAGATGGCTATCAATCACTTTGGTCACCTCACCTACCAGTCCCACGGGCACCACGAGAAACGCCTTGGCTTTGACGTCTTTTTCGGCAGAGGGAACAAACGTCTTTTTGTCGTCATCAAACGCTCCACAAGCTGCCGCAGGGACACTAAACGCCTTGATACCCTTGGCAGTCACTTGTACGACCGATCCAATGGGAAATTGATCTTCCAACCGCGATTCTTCGCCACTTGGTTCGTCCTCTTTTGGAAGCTTCTGGTTGTTCTTAGCTAGCATTGATATTGGCTCTGGCTCGGAATCAAACGAAATCAGTTCCAGAAACAACGGTGCCATCAGGGACCGTCTGCAAGAAGTGGCCGTTGTTGTCACTGCAGAAAAACCATGGGTATCTTGCCCTAGTAGCCACAACAGGCTCACTGCTAAAAGTGTCACCAGATGAACCATTGTCTAGATCAGTCTATCAGTTTGGCTATACCAACGATCGATCGAGTGTATATCTATCTATACGATTGAGAAGTACAGTACTATGGCCGCGGTCTCTCGGAGAGAATGGAGGCAGAGGTGTGGCACCACAATCTTCTTTGAGCTTGGCAGCTGACGTTTCTCGCGATCTCTTGTCTAAGCCAGTAGAGCAAGCAAATATTTTATAACGCAACCGTAACTCTCCGATCCACCGCTGCGTGGTTCGGTGGCTTCTCCATGCATCTTGAGGGCTAGCTAGCTAATAGCTCGATCCTACGTGTCAAAGCTTTGGTGGTGCCTACATTTCGTCGTGCCTGCATTTCCTCGTGCAAGGGAATCGAATAGAATCATGGTGTCGGCGTCAAAACAATGGCATTCCGGCGCTGTATGTAGCTAGTATCGAGAATCACCGCAGAGGTCCAGGAGAAAGCAATTTAAGCCAAGTGAAAACGGATCACGCATCGATCGGCACAGCTAGCTAAAATGATCGAGTTGGCGTGGGTGCCAAGTCTAAATCAAAGCAAAAGATTTGTGGAGAAAAAGGGACACAGCCAGCAATAACATAAACGTGAAAATTATATATACATATTCAAAGATGCGGAGTGCAAGACTTCAAGCCGAGGGCCGAGGATATGATTCGTTTCGGACAGCCGTCATTGATCGTACCCTATCCTAAGCAAGACGTTTTATGTGTCGCTGTGAACAGGAACTTAGTCGTCCTCCTCCAGCAAATCCTGCTTTCCTGATGCTCAAACCAAGGAGGCATTATTGGAACACACACAATCACATCCACACAACATAGGACCGCAATCAAAACCAAGCAAGCAAGGCCTTGGGCCCCAATAAGTGCAAGATTCATGCTGCAAAAAGCAGAGATCATCAGATATGGTGCCAGACAAGCCATGGTTGTTTGTTAGATTCAGAAACCGCAAACTAGTCAATTCCCCAACAAAAACCAATGGAACAACTCCAGTCAACTCATTTTGATCCAAAGATAGGCGAACCAAAGCACTCAGTTGTGCCAACTCGGAAGGAATGGACCCAGAAAGTTGATTCTTGCTGGCTGCAATGTCTATCAGCCTTGTCAAAAGTCCAATCTCAGAAGGGATCTGTCCAGTCAAACCATTGGCATACAACTCTAACGAAGTCAAAGTCTGTAGCAACCCAAGCTCAGAAGGCACTTGGCCCAAAAGCTGATTCTCAGCCAACCATGAACGCTTCAATGAAGACAGCTGTCCAAATTGGGAAGGAATTTGGCCGCTCAACAAATTTGCATTCAAGTTCAAAGCTGTCAATGCAGCGTGTTGTGCGAGCTGAGAGGGGATCCGGCCGGAAAGCTGATTTTCCTGTAACTCCAACTTAGTCAGACCAGGCAGATGACCAATCTCAGAGGGAATCTCACCAGAAAACTCGTTATTGCTCAAATATAACAAACTCAAAGCAGTATGTCGGCCAATCTCTGAAGGAATCTCGCCAGACAATTGATTGCGATCCAACCATAACTCAGTCAAACCAGTCAGACCAGACAGCCGGACAAGCTCAGAGGGAATCTTGCCAGACAGCCGATTATATCCCAACTGTATCGAATCCAAAGCAGTCAAATGTCCAAGCTCTGTGGGAATCTTGCCAGTTAATTGATTGAAAGCTAACCGTAACAAATTCAAAGCAGTCAAACGTCCAAGCTCCGAGGGAATCTTGCCAGACAATTGATTGTTACCCAACCGTAACAAATTCAAAGCAGTCAAACAGCCAAGCTCAGAGGGGATTTGTCCCGTCAATGGATTTTTCTCCAACCTAATCATTTCAAAAGAAGTCAACTGTCCAAATTCCGAAGGAATTTGCCCGGTCAATTGATTATTTGTCAGATCAATGGTCTGTAGACCAGAAAGCAGCACAAGCTCTGACGGTATCGTTCCCGTCAAATCATTCAGATGGTAAAACAAGCTATCCAAGTGAGTCATTTGGTATAATTCTGAAGGCAGAAGAGATGAAAGAGGTGCCGAAATGTCATTGCGACCCAGCTGTAGAAAAAGCAAGGATGTCAAGAGTGTGATCTCGGGTGGAAGAAATGGCGAATAACCATCAAGCTCCAGATCTTCAACAGATAGAGAAACCAGTTGTCCTTGCTCGTTGCAAGGATCCAAAAAATGCCTACTTGTTTCAGACCACTCCACAAACTTGTTTTTCCCACCAAGAAGACCGAAATACCCAAGTCCACTGGAGAACCATTCACACTCTTCGACTGTGTCATCCATCCACCTTTCCCTAACTGGTTGCCACCAGTTCTCTCCCTCAAAAGCATAGAAGAACGTAGCAAGAGCAAACAGCTGCACTTTCCTCCATTCTGGAAGAAAAGAGATATTTTGGTGATTGGCAAGCCAATTCCATGCTTTCCACTGAGGAGTTTCACTGCCATTGTTCATGCTAGCCAGAGTGTAGTCAGGTAGATCTTCCAACAGCAAGTCCAGTGCTCCAGTGGGGGCAAATGACGGCACTTCAGAAGGATCCACGGAACCATAGGCAGTTGGGCTTCCGGTTGATTGCAAGACAATCAACACGGGTTCCTTTTGTTTTTGAGTTGTGACCACAACTCCGATAATAATTGCTGCTACAATGAACAGAAAAATGCTTGCCAGAATGCAGAGCTTTTGTTGCCTCTGCCTCTTTTTCTCCCTTTCTTCTGCAGCTTCTGAATCGACAGGATTAGCGTGCATCATATCCGTAACATCGTTTTGGTCATCGATGACTGGATTTGCCTGTGGCATCTGACTATTTGAATCAATGGCTTGAAGGCTGGGTTGTGAGGGTGTAGGGAGTGGGGCACCAGATCCGGCAGCACTGAAGATGTCATAGTTAAGCATCTCAGTTTGTCGCATTGAATTCCCAGGGGTATTTCTGTAGGCTCCAGGAAGGGATGGCTCTGGGTGTTGTTGTTGGTTCAACAATGGATGGCTTACAGTCACATTCGTAGAGGGATTAATAGTTGGCATGGTCTGGTCCGCCTCTTCCAGTCGGCTCTTTGCTGCTGGTCCCGTCATCATTGGTGCCAAACTACCACTGGGTTTGGATGATTTCTTGGGCAAAAAAGAAAGCTGGGCACTGCTTTGACGATTTTCGACCTGGGCGGCTGGCATTACAGCTGAGAGTGCAATATACGCAGAATTAATCGTGGCCTGATCATTCTGGTTGTGGTCATTTGCTGGAATTTTGCTGTTTGCTGCTGCTTGCTTTTCTGTAGACTTGTCCAGATTGCCTTTGTTTTCTCCTTGCTTTTCCTTTGGGAAGAATGACAGCAGACCACTCTGTTGGGTGTTGCTGGGTCGAGCTTCCATGTCTGTGAGTACCATTAAAGCAGAATCATTGTTGGTAGTGGCAACTCCAGGGTTGGCTGAGGCGGTCTGTTCGGCTGCCTTTCCTTCCTCAGATAGCTTCAGTCCAGGCTGGGTTGCTGTACATGTATTTGGAGCAGCTGATGCCTCCGTTGTGGTAACCCCAGAGCAACTTCGAGTAGCACCGTTGGCGTCAGCTTCTTCAGCTGATCCCTTGAGACCACCTATTGTCGTTGCCCTTGTCCTTGTGGATGTAGAGGGACCCGTGGCTTCCCCCTGTCGTTGCTGAGTCCCCTGCCTTGCAGTTCCAGAAATGCTCGTCTCACTATTAGGCGTAGCCATGCTGGCACTGTCGGGCCCATGGTCTGCGTTGTTTGTGTGGGATGTGTTGGAATCGTCCTTCATACTGGGTCCGGTTCTTTGGCGTGAAGGGGGCTATCCAACGGATTATGTAAGTATGGTTTGGGTAAGTAGTTCGCTGAATAGAACCACAGAAGCCGACAGTTTACACATTCATTTTGATATCATCAACAAGTGGAAATGATACCGGTGTACTGGTATACTGGCTATGGTAGCAAGGACTGAGCCGAGTCGTCGCTCGAGCTAAAGAGCAGTGTGGCTGGAAATTCAGACAACTATTAAAATTAAAAGAGAGATGCGGTAAATACGGTAGGGCTAAAGGTAACTGTTGAATGCGTTTATGTACCGCATCTACCTGAATCCAAAAGCTATCTCATCGAGCTTCTCACAGCCTCTGGTCGTGTTTTTTTCTTTTTTTGGTTCTTTTGACCCCCCCCTCTTTACTAAGGTAAAAACCAGCTCGGGCAGAAATATCACAGAGACTTTGTCGTGGTTGTCAAGGGGATCCGAAAGCTTTCTATCGCTGTGCCGGCACGGTCCATTGGAGCACCAACTATACCGGCAGCTATGCATAGCCAGCTAGGACCGCTGCCGGTTTTCGTACACCAGCGGGGATTAGTCCGCCACTAGATCTCCGGTAGTGGTCTCCGTTGCTTGTCACTCGATTGAATCATTCGATCCAACTGTTCCACAAGCAAAAAGCATGCATGGCAATGCAGTGGTACCGTTGGGTAGCCTCAGCTTTTGTTTGTTCCTCCAAACCATGGATGGAGCCGAGGCCACTCTAGCTAGCTAGCAAGTCCGACAGAACCTACTAGTACTATGACTCCCCTGTCCGTGGTACAGGTTCTACCAAACTTAGCCCGGGAGGGCAAGTGGATCGAAGCATCCAATTGGTTTTTCTTGTGGTGACGTGATTCGTGGTTTTGGGGAGAGACACCGGGGAAGACTGGTTTAGAAGGGTAGTTGCGGTAAATATAGGGTTAAAGTTATAGTTTACTCTGCGTTTTTGTATACAAATTGTAATTTACCGCATTTACCTGAATTTCAAAGTTGTCTTCCGGATGTTCCGAATGATTGATCATTCGATTCAATCATCTTTTGGATCTTTTGGATCTTTTGAGTCGGGCAAGCAAGCTTAAGTCGTGACTGTAATCTCTTCGGTTTGGGGACAGCAAGACTGAGCCACAAATAATTTGTATTATGGGGAAACAGGTCAAATTGTGCTGTACAGTACCGTAAAATGTCAAACGAAACAGCAGTGTTAGGAGTCTTTGGTGCTTCAGGGCGCACCGGAAGGCACGTTGTGGAACATGCATTGAGCATCGGCTGGAAAGTCCAAGCAATGGTCCGTAGCCCCGAGAAGTTCGATTTGCAACACGACAATCTCAGCGTGATCCAAGGAGATTTTTCCAATGGTGATGCCATCCAGGAGACAGTTCGAGGTACAACCTACGTGATCTGCACCGGTGGTGGCCCTCATAATTCCAGGCAGTACGAGAAGGGCTTTATGGAACGGTTCGTGAGAGAACAATTGTGGCCTGCTGTTCTGGCGAATGCGGAGAGCAGTCCACCCAAGGCATTGTTGTTCCAAGCGGGAGCGTTATCCAAGGTATCCAAGCTGCCGAATTTCAGTCAATTGTTGATAGCGCCTCTGATGGGCCTTCGACCGATGGCTCTGGACAACGATGCAGTGATGAGGTTCATTGACAGCAACCCACTGAAAGGGACCAAAGTGATTGTGACACGTCCTGGTGCACTGATAAATGGAAAAGGAGGATCGGACCTACGAGCGAGCTGCATGGCCAACACCATTCCTCTTACGTATGCCGATTTAGGAAGATTCAACGTGCAAACGGTTTCCGACGAAGAGTTTGGGATGAAATATCCCTATGTCTGCCTCAAGAACGGATTCTAACGCCGCTTGGACCACGTTGCCTGTGTCACTACTTTTGATTCGATCCTACTGTTGCATTCATGACAATGCAGTGTGACCGTCGCTTTGCCCCAGATTTATTTACTTATTTATGTTGGTTCCTGCCTCCAAGCAAGGGATGGAGCTGGATGTATTTCTTTTTGTTGATTGATAATATATAAATTGTTCTTTCCTACTAGCATTCATCACGAACTGGCTTTCAACAAACTGAATCAAGCCACGTTGGTTATCCTCGGCTCTTGGGGCGGTACCGGTATGGGTTGGAGGGACTGGGAGCTAGCTTCTGGTAGCTGGTCTCCGATGAGGAGTGGTACAAGAGGATCGGTTGTTTGTTCACAGAGATGCGGGTGTCAAGGTTTAGGGTTCTTGGCAGCAGTAACCGACTGACGTCAGTGCCGAATCGAATCTTTTGGATCTTTTGGATCTTTTGGATCTTTTGGATCTTTTGGATCTTTTGGATCTTTTGGATCTTTTGTTTTGACACCACTGCGCACCACATCGAAGGAGGCTCATTTCTTTCAGAACATTAAATTTTGCGTTCCATTACAACACCCCCTTATCCAAAGTAATCTACAGTAGATAGTGCAACACTTTGCTCCCTCCTTCAAAATGTTGCTTTCAATAATGCGACTTCTCTTCTTATCCTTCTTTTGGAGTCTATCGGATGCTGTTTTTTCGGCTGAAACTACTATTAATACTACAACTGGCCCCAACTACCAAGAATGCACGAGCGAATTGTCTCTCACGTTTCCCTACTGCGACATGAGCAAATCGTGGGACGAGCGAGTGGATTATTTGGTGGCGGAATTGAATTTGACGGAAAAGATTGGTTTGTTATCTCCGGATCCAACGGTCGTTTCGAAAGGGTATATTGACTGCTACGCCATTACGTATGCCGTCCCGCGTTTGGGCATTGGAAGGTACATGTGGTTGGTCGAGACCAATTCGCAGGCCAATAGTTTGTGCTACAAAAACACGACGCACTGTCCCACGGCGTTTCCAGGAGCCCTCGGATTGGCCGCCTCCTTTAATACGACCGTTTGGAAGTTGAAAGGACACGTCATTTCATCCGAATTGCGCGCCCAATACAATTCCGGTGGTCGTCGCAAACGGCCCGAATCCTTGGTGGGTCTGACTGGATTTGGACCCAATCTTAATATTGCGCGAGATCCTCGCTTTGGTCGAACCAGTGAATTGCCGGGAGAAGATCCCCTCTTGAATGGATTCTATGCCATTTCCTACTTGCACGGATTGCAGCAACCACTCGATTCGGACAACAACAATAGCAATAAATACCTCAAAATGCTGGCATTGGTCAAACACTTTACGGCGTACAGTCGAGAAGTCAATCGAGGACACGACAATTACAATATTTCACAACACATGCTCTTTGACAGTTATCTACCAGCTTATCAAATGGCATTTCAACAAGGCAACGCGTCGGGAGTCATGTGCAGTTACAATGCCGTCAATGGAGCTCCCTCCTGTGCCAATGACTGGTTGTTGAATACAATCATGCGACAATCCTGGAATCAACCGCATGCTCTGGTCATGACGGATTGTGGTGCCGTCCGGAACCTCAAGGGACCGCCCGTCAAGGCTCCTTCGGATGCTCACGCCGTGGCGTGGAGTTTGGGCAATGGCACCGACGTCGAAGCGGGCGATCACATGTTTGGACAATTTGGAGCAAATGCCGTGGCACAGGGATTGCTCAATGAAACCGTTGTCGATCAAGCGGTACGACGAGTCTTGTGGAACATGATGCGGGTCGGACGATTTGATCATCCCTACCATACTAATCCGTACGCATCCATTACCGCCGACGCCATTGGCAGTCCTCAACATTCCAAGATTCGAGACGATGCGGCACGACAAACTGCCGTATTGTTGCGCAATTTGGGAGGTGCCTTGCCCTTGTCGCCAGGCAACAACAAGACGATTGTCATTGTGGGACCTCAAGCCAATACGGGAGAAGGACTCATGCCCGATTACTGGGGTGATGAAGCGTGTCCCAACAATCGCGGATTTCGCTGTGTCCCCACATTTTACACGGCCATTGACAAGATTCAAACTTCCGGGAAAACGCTCTGGTCCATGGGGGTGGGAGAAAAGTCCATGGACAAGAAGAATTATCAAACTGCCTTGACGGCCGTGCAAGATCATGCGGATATTGTCGTGCTGGCCATGGGTATTTCCAAAAAGACCGAACAAGAAGGCACCGATCGGACCAGTACATTGCTTCCGGGATTGCAGAATCAATTTGCCTTGGATGTCTTGAAAATTGCCAAACAAAAGAACATTCCCGCCATTCTACTTTTGGTCAATGGCGGAGCACTCTCCATCAATGACTTGATGCCAATCCGGACAGTTCCTTCCAATCTTCCAGAGTGCTATCAGAGTCGTGCCGGTGTGGCTCCAGCACAACTGCCACAAAGCTATGCTATTGTCGAAACGTACAATCCATCCTTTGGTGCCACGGGGATTGTGGACGCTCTCTTTGGCATTGGACCCGTGTCCTGGGGACGCATGGTCACAACCATGTACCCAAAAGAGTTTGCCGACACGCATCCGCCCGATCAGTACGATTTGGCTGATGGCGATGGACTCACCTATCGATATTACAAGGGTGATGTATTGGCAACCTTTGGAGAAGGCATGCCACACGAAGATCCCGACGACGATGGGAGTGCCGTTAGTTGCAAGATGATGATGACACACAATCAAACGCAGCAACAAACAGAAACAGAATGGACGATTCGATGTGTTGCCACCAATTCACTAACCGACCGGTCTCTCTCCGCATTGGTCATGGTCTATGCACGAGCTTCGGAAAAGATTCAAGCTCCGTATCCCATTCCTCGACGAGCCTTGAAAGGATTCCACCGCGTCATGGTCGGTCCCTTGCAGAGTGAGACGTTTGAGATTGATATTGGCTTGCAAGACATTATGCTGGTGAATGAACAAGGACACAAAGAGGCACTGCCTGGCCGACATTTTGATTTGCTGGATATCTGGGATGGCTGGAATACCTTTCAATCATTCTCGGTGAGCTTGCCATCACAACACGAGGGTGGGATCACGATAGAGTCGTTCTAGCCTGGATATCGGTTCTAACCTCGACATCGGTAAAGGGGCAAAGTTGGCTAGGAGCTAGAGGTGATGCAAACCAAAAGCAGAAACGTACATTTAAAAAACTGCATGCATGCACAACACGTCGTGGAGGATTGACTATAGAAGTCGCAGTCGCGGCACAATGAATCCCTGAAAGGGAACCTGTCCGCTTGCAACATCTTGTTGGTTTGGATCCAATCGTCCTCATGGTAGCAACTTACATTCATGGCGAGGTGTACATACCGGCACAGCAACGTCCACCTCTTTTGGACAAAGCAGGAAGAATGGCGGATGTCTTGGGCGTCCTGAGCATTCGATCTGGTAAGAACAAGAACCAACACGTAGGCTCGGAACTCTAGATTGGCTCCACGATCTCTAGCAGCTGTAGAACCTTGCTGCAAAGGAAATCATCAGGTTACACCTGACAATGCTACAGTTCAATCTTTCTCGTGATCCGCTGGCCATGACTGCCCGAAGACACGGTGCCAATCGCTTCTGCAGTCCCTCCTGAGTGCCAATCGGGGGAAGGTACAATCTGAAAAGCACCGTAACCTACTGGTTATCGCTACTAGCTACGGACTCCGCACTGTTTCACTACTCTGTGGAGCTGCTGGGGTGGCCGACTGGTCCAGCCTTCGGGAGATGGCTTTTCATTGAGATTACATTCCGCAGTGGATCCCTCTGGATATCGATAGTTGTTGATCACAGCAAACATCCGAGTCACTTGCGATTCTGAAACCGTTAGTACTTCCGAGGCCAAGTTCCAAAAGACAGTCTGCGAGCACGGAGGCGTCGGCAAACTTCCCTCGTAGGTATAGAAATCTGTATCCCCGGGGATGAGGCTGTAGGGATCAAAGAACTCACTGGTTGAACGCGCAACAGCCACCTCACTTGTATCCCAACTTTGGGATGTCCACCAGTGCAGAAGACTTCAATTTCACCCAGGGCGGCTTCCCATTGGACCAAGAGTTTCTCGAAGATTGGATGCGTCTCCGTACCCTCGCCCTTGATTTTCTGTTGATTCATCCCACGGAGACCAACACAGCCAAGTCACGACCCTGTGAGACGGGCAGCAAGGAGTCACGGTGGAAAGACACTACGACCACCTTACCACACCAACGACTTGAAAGTCACCCGTCGCAAAGCTGAAGTCAGGTACAGCTAGATTGGCATGGACAATGTGAAGTTCGGCATCTGCAAAGTCTCCATCAAACGAGTGTTCTGTGCCCGTATGAATATGAAACTGGAGGGCCGTGTACTCCACACTGTTGCCGAAAGAACCATTGTCCAACTTGATCGTGGGCGGAATGGAGCAGTTCCCAAACCCCACGCCCACATCAATATCCTTGATGGGGAAAGTCAGCTCCGAAAAGAGGCAGCTTTCCTGGCACACCAACCCAACGTAACCCAAAGGAAAAGGAAGCGGTGAGCTCGTACTGTCGCACTACGGCATTGGTGCGGCACCTGGGCAAAAACTCACCTTGCTGTTGTCCAAAACGTAGGGCGTAACGGGCGATCGACAATTCGACATCATGAGGGATCCCGGGATATTGATGGGACTCTGACGATCTGATCGTCCGCATTCATTGGGCTCCATACCGAATGGAGTCGGCACAAAGCCTAGCAAAGGCCAGTCGGTGTCTGGATCGGCATAGTCAAAGACAACGGGGTCCGCACCCTCCACATTTCGGGCTATCCAAGAGATGGAATAGATGAGGAGAGTTGCGAATCGAGAAACGAACATGTTTCTGGTTTTTGCTTTGGAGGAACTAACCGTCGCTTCACTCTGGCTTTTTGACTGGCTACTTGGATTGAATTGTTTTATGATTTCAGTATCTTATACATCTTTTTGTTTGAATTAAAATACCGTGGCTGACAAGGTACATGGAAGGAAGCCCTTTTGGTACGATACCCACTCCGAGGGCAGGAAGGGTTGGAGTGGTCGAGGCTATCAACCCACAAGCACGAGTTTCGTGCCTTTGTGGTGTCCTGGGACATGACGGAAAATTTGATATTTAGTGCTTTCCGAGTTGCGGTCAATGACATTCTGACGTTTCGGGTGATGTCATCCACAGCCGCGTTGGCTATGCCCTAAAGTTCCTGGCGTGATCAAGTGTGTCTGAGTTGGCTCTATTCTTTGAGTTTGACACAATGATTACAGTCAACACTCACTTAAGTTCCGTTTTTTTAAGTTCCGCTATTCTACAAAGTTCCACTTTTTCAGGGCTGCCCCCCTCAGTCACTAGTTCTCATGACTGAACATGACTGACTAGTGAATGGGTTTTGTGGCTGTTTTTGGCTGGGCTGGCAGTTAGAATCTTGCCAAATGAGGCAACAACAGTCTCTACAAAGCCCAAATAGCACCTTTTTGACAGCACTGTGGCCATTTTGGGCCCAAATAGTAGATTGGATCCACCAGAGAGAGTCTGGGCACAACTAGTAGACAATAGAGACACTATATGTAGAAGCGATGGGGTTCCACCCCATGAAATTTTGGCTCCTTTTACCCCCAACAACAATAGAATATGACAGGAACCACCCCAAGTGGGTCCTAAGACCACGAACCGGCCGATATAGGGCTCCAAAGATCTAAAGTTCCGTTATTCAGCTAAGTTCCGTTTTTTTCTTAATGCTGGGGGGTGGAACTTTAGTGAGTGTTGACTGTACTCTAGTAGCGATTTTATTCCTATTGTGCTACTAGCTAGTACTGCGCCGATGGCTATTGCTTTTTATTCACTTTCTGAACACGTGCTCTTGCAAGCTTCGAGCTGTCGCGAGAGCGTCCTCGGGCACGGGAGGGTCTGTCGCTTGATGGGATGATCTGCAAAACGATGTATGATGCAGTACCGGTACCAGCTCCAACGTCTAGCTAGAGTAAACGGACTGAAGGTGATAACTCGGCTCATCCTACTTGCTGCAAGTACACGTGTACCGGTACGTACGAGTACATAGCAGCAGCCAGCAAGACGCAGCTAACGCGGCCGAGTGTATTGGTCTACCTATCTATTTAAAATAGCTGTTGAAACGTTACAATTCCATGGTACGCACCAAGAGAAGCATTTCATTGCTGGCAGACGCAACCACTATCCTGTACGTGTACAAGCAGGCTACAGGCTGCTTCCTGAAATCTCATCTTGACACCTGAATCTCATCTTGACAAAAATCTCCCGTGAAACCTTCAGCGCACCGGCAAATTGGATGGTCATAATAGGAATAGTCACAGAAACCACCATTCAAGCATGGATCCAGCAGGTCACCAGCCGTAACTTCCCAATCATCCAAATCCACAGAGTGCGTTTTCCAGCAAGATTCCTGCGTGGAATTCTGGCAAAATTCCCCGTAAAACGGGGGCTCACAGGTACACTTCAACTGGAATGGATCGCATGCTTGACGGTTTTTGCAGGAACCAGCCCAAACCAGATCGGAGCAAAAGAATGGATCTTCCTCTACTGCTGGTGGGTGTGGATTCTGGCAGATGTTCCCAGAGGCCCCTTTGAAACAATACTAGAAACAACAACGTGCCCGGGTTGTGTTAGAGCTACCCAGACCTGCACGAGTCACGAACAGTGAGATATAAGTTTTACCTGACAGCTTCCAGTTTTGGAGTCACATATCCCATCATTGAAACAGCCAAGTTCATTGCAATCATAAACATATTCACATTGGAAACCACTGAATATTAGAGAACACAAAGAAGAAGAAGAATGAGAGATTGCTTTTGCGATGACAGAGAGGGGCTAACAACCGAAAACTTTCTTGTAGAAGGGTAAGCAGTCACAGAAGCCAAAAGGAAAGCCCTCGAAACCATCCCGGCATCTGCCCTTATTTTGGCATGTTGCCAATCCCTCAGTCACAGTTCCATTCTCGTACTGGAAACTGCAGGCAGAACATAAGAACCGTGCACTGAGTGTGTCGTCATCATCTGGTGTAGCATCAAAAAACAATGAATCATCATGGTTCTCTTGTGGCTTGGCGAAAACCCAGGTCACTGCGGTTGGGTCATAAGCCCAAGTAGGTGTACCATAGTCCACAGGAGAACTGTAGTAGCGAGGACTGTATAGTCTGCTCTTTGCCAATACCTGCAGCGCCTCAGCAGCGGATGAAGCGTTCCAAAATTTTGTTGTGTTCAAGTAATCGAAGAACTCGTCATAGGTCAACGCACTCGATTCATATGGTGCACCCATGATCATCCATCTTTTTTGCAGAAACCAATGAACCAATTTGTGGTAAGAACATGCTCTGCTTTTGATGCCCGAGAAGTGCATCAACGGGATCCCAACCTACCTTCGACCTGTGAAAATCATGAAATACTGGACTTTCAATGCGGCAGAGAACGCATACGCATTGATGTCGAACGGAATATACAAGAATCTGTGATTGAATTTCACATCTGCCGAAAGAAACTGATTATCAAAAAAGAAAGACCCTCCTGGAACGTTGGCCAGAGTGCCTCTGGTTCGAAAGTCTACTGCATAGAAAGGACATTTGGGTGTTTCAGTCTCACAGCTCACCCCAAAGAATCCTTCATGGCACATGCAGGCATGATTCTCATTACAAGTTCCACGGTCTGTATGGCATCGGTTTTCGTTACACTCATGACAGGTCAGAGAGAACCAGTCAACGGGAACAAACCCTCCTGTTGTGTTGTGGAACCATGTTTGATCGGCAATTGTTGTGACATCGAACGACTCAGTTTCTGAAGATTTGATGACAACAAGACCTTTCTCAGGTGTATTGGGCTCCAGCACCCAAGCCTTGTTGGACCGAGAGTACCGCATTTTGTATGTTCCACTGAGATCAACATACTTGGGCCGGCTGCTTTGTAGTCCCTCTGCGATAAATCCGCCAGAGTAATAGGCGAGGTCCGGATCATACGCATCACCAAACTGCAGCAAGAGCACATTGCACGCAAACTTTCCAGACAGCTGCCAGTTGGAGAAAATAATCCAAAAGACGTAGAGAGCAGTCACTATAGTCCCCAGCAAAAATCTTCTCATCCAAAGTGTTCTTCTTATGTTGGCAGCCGTCGTCATGATGTCCCCAACACCTGAAAAGAGGATATGCGGCATCATGTAGAGGTCTATGTGAACCAAAGGTGTACACCCATGGTACTGCATGGATCTAAAAAAGCGCAACAGAATCAAACCGATCAACACTCAAACTCTCACCTTTGACTTCAGCTTGAATGACCTGGCCCACCAAGCCAGTTTCCGCCACGGCAAAAGCAACGTCATCGATGTCTTGGACAAAGTGCAGGGCGGCAAAGTTGAGACACATCCCCACAACAGTTGTACTTTGCATGAGCAATATGAACAAATTCATGATCATAAAGAAACCCGAGGATGCCTGAAATAATGATGACATGGCCCACTTGATTTTGGTGGCACCCGTGTGGTCCTTGATTAGCTCTTTATCGTATCCATTGAACACGCGGGAACATCCCTTGATGAGGTCTCCTTCTTTGGCCGTAAAATTGATGATGAGGATTACACCACAGCCTTGTGCAATACGAACGGTGCGTTCCACATCAACTGGAAGTTTGAGCCTGTTTGTTTCTCCATTGCTCTGTCTCAAGCAAAATGTTCTACACGGTAAGGAAATATTACTCGAACACGACTTCTACAAACATGCAAAAACAAAATACTCACCGAGGTGGGTGGATCTTCTGTGGTATCCACTAGACCAATGACTGATTGGTACCAATAATAAATTTTTCGAGCAGACATGTGTCAGCTTCACTGCAAGAGATATTTTCTATACACACAACAGGCGTCTTGCAGGCAGCAAAAACTTACAAATCAGCACCAAAATGGTGAATTGGATCATGAAAACAAGCATTGCAAAAAAGAAAGGAATGCTAAAACGGTCTGCCGTGTACATGACACTGTAGATGTCTTCATTGAGAGCCTTTTCGAATCGATATTCGCTGGAACGATAGGACATGTTTTTGGGTGGTTTCTTCGCTGCCTCAGCAGTCATGTCATCAATTTCTTCTCCTTGTTGGTCCTTGCTCTCATCACCATGGTACTCTTTTTCGGGAACCAGGTTATTGTCACTGTTGTATACTGTAGGGACCAGCTTGTTGGGGTCATCCTCTGGTTGGACCGTTCGGCCCTGGAGTACAGTCGCCTTTTTCGGCTCGTCCTCTTCCACCTGAATTGTCACCGAACGCCTGTCACCAGCGGCCTTCTTGGGTGGGTCGGCAGCTTTAGCTCGGCCCTGTACCGCTTTGGCTGGGCTCTCTGCCGCACCACCATGGTACTCTTCCTCGGGAACCAGGTTATTATCACTGTGGTATTCCATGGGGACCAGCTTTTGGGGGTCATCTTCTGGTTGGACCGTTCGGCCCTCGAGCACAGTCCCTTTGACTGGCTCGTCCGCTTCCACCTGAATTGTCACTGAACGACTGTCACCATTCGCCTTCTTGGGTGGGTCCTCAGCGTTAGCTGGTGTGTTCATGGCCAGATCTGTAGTCTCACTGATCTCAATAACCTCTCTTGATGGAGTTGTAATGGAACTGCATGTGCCATTGGCGGCAGGCTGAGAATTCTTCCGCGGTCATAAATGAGGCAGTGTGAAGAATTCGGGTCATCTCCAGTGAATCGAATCATTTCAATCGGATCAATCGAATAGTTCGATTGGAGATTCAATCGAATTGAATCGAATCAATCGAATGTACCGTACAGATGAACCGGTACGGTACCTGTAGGGTTAGAGGTGCGCCAATGACACCAGTCCGAAGAAAAACTTTGCAACGCAGCAATCCAGGAACGGCACATACAACCGGAAATCTGCAGTAGGAACCGAGAAAACAAACCATGAAGTTGTCGGATCTTCCATTGGTCCTCCCCATTGCTGAATGGATATGGAGTAGTACTGGTAGCAGCAGCAGTAGTAGTGAAGATGATATTGCTAGTGATGTTGTCACTGCGCAAGTCTGTTTGAGTCAAGTGGAAGCCTTGGACATTCCCGCGTTTGTGTCGGGTGGCTGTTTCGCCCAAATCGTTTCCAAAGTGTCGGGCATTGGCATTATCGTGGGAGCCTGTTTCAACAAGGCTCCTACCATTAGCAACATGCTCGAAGCCCAATCGGCCGAAGGGTTCTCTAGAATGAGTTTGTACACCGAGTGCCTCTTTTACGCCAATAGCAGTATCTACAGTATCCAGCAAGAATACCCCTTTACAGCGGTAAGTAAGAACCCAATGGAAGATATCTACCGCATCTAGATAGATAGATTGGAGTGAGAGACCACTTTACACGGTACAGCCAGTTGATCTTTTCCCTGTTTCTCATTCTTTGTATGTATTTGTGCTACCGGAATGATGTATGATCTATTCTATTCTATTCTATTCTGTGCACTGCAGTACGGCGAGAACTTGGTGTTACTCTTACAAACCATGGTCATGGTGGTCCTCTTGTGGCACTATTCGTCCGTTACCATGACAGAACAAGTGGGCGTGGTGGTATCGGTGGTGATCTACTTGGGAGTGGCCATTTCCCTCCTTCCCGCCGAGCATCGGTATCTGCTGCATGCCTTTAACGATGTGATTATTCTGTATTCGGGTGGTTTGCAAGTGGCGGAAACGTATCGCGTCAAACACACCGGTGCTCAATCCATAGTGACGACGAGTATGAATTTGGTGGGTGAAGTGTTGCGAGTATTTACGACATTGGAAGAAGCCGATGGAGATTGGAACATGATGTTGGGCTATCTGTTGTGTGCCGGATTGAGTGTGACCATGTTTGCGCAGTACTTTTTGTATCAAGCCAATACGGAACAGTTTTATTTGCAAAAGCAACAAGAAAAGAAGGAAAAGAAGAACAAGGTGGAGTAGTCTAGTAGTACCGAAGGATCTTGTTGCATAGATAGATGTTGGCAGAGACCAAAAGCTTGCTCAGGTTAGTAAAATTGCTTCAAGATTTGCATAGACATACATGAGATAGCAGACCATCCCGCACCCAGACATAGCCAGTTAGATCCAGCCCAACAATCTATCTCTTTGGAGAGCTACCGGTAGGGTTACCTAGCTAGAGCTCCCCTTGTGTTCACGGTTGCTATAGCCGTTCGATTGGATGGCAACGTCTAAGTATTTCCTCCAGCACGAATGATCGTCGGATGCGGCTGTGAGAATTAACGACGTGGTGCTCAATCTTTTGCTTCAATCACGAACACGAGCAATGACCGACCTACCAGCCTACCAGCTATGCATAGACTACCTCCAACCGCCAACTTCCGCTCCAAAATGTAGGCGAACCATTACAACAACCCTCCAACCCAACCAACAGTCCAAGAGGTCTCTTCTCTGCTGAGTATAATATCCATCGCAGCTGTTAGTCCATCCTACCAGCTAGCAACTGTCCCTACCGGTATCTGCTACCATCATCTTAAGGTTAAGCTCAGATACCCCTGGATACCCGCGGATACCCCCTCCTGCTCCTCTACTAGTAGTTAAAGCCGTGCTACCCATTAAAATACCAAGATGACGGACGTGGACGACGTGGATGTGGATCACCACATGGAGAATGGTGCCGGCAGTACTACTGATGTGGATGACATGTCTCTGAAAAATGCCAAGAGCATGGAAGAAGCGTACCACCAACAAATTGAGAATCTGAAGGAGCAAGTCAAGGAGAAGGATCAGCATTTGAAGGATCTGGAGAAAGGCTTGGATGCCCAGGTGGCCATGGTAATGGAATTGGAAAAATTGGAAGAAAAGGAGCTTCAAGAGTACGAAGCCAAGCTGGTGGCGAATAAAAAGTTGATTACCGAATTGGGGGAACGCGTGGGAATGGAAACCAAGGCCAAGGCGGAACTAGAGTCCCAACTGCAGTACGTGCAAGCCAAGAATAAAGATCAAGCCACTCAGATTGAACGATTGGAAGAACTCAACAAGGTCAATACGGAACTACTCAAGGCCGTCAAATCTCAAGATGAAGAAAATCAAAAGAAAAATGGAAAATCGCAACACGACAACAACCACTCCAAATGGGAAGCCTTGGGGAAAGTAGAGTACCTCATGGAAACCAATCAAAAATTAGTCATGGAATTGGCACAAGCGCAGGAAGATATGCAACGAGTGCGCAAGGATGTCTCTGATAAAGAACTGCTGTGTCTCGAACTTTCTTCTCAACTAGATAAATTGGCATCCCAGCTCAATTCCGCCGATGAAGACATGGCCGGTGTCAAGTACCAACTCAAACAAAAGGAAGATCAATTCAAAAAGAGTGACGATCGGGTCAAAACTCTCGAACAGGCACTCTTGGAACCGCAATCCGAAGGAGACGAAACCATGGGAAAAGCCGTACTCATGCGAAAACTCAAAGACAAGGAAGATGTTACGGCACAAATGAAAAAGGAACGAGATGTGGCACTCGCCAAAGCCACCAAACTGTCCTTGGCACTCGCCAGTACACGAGAACACGTCGATGCCCTACAAGAAAAATTGGAATATCAAAATTCCATTGTCGATCGGATTTTGGGAAAAGGACGCAATCCACCATCATCACACACGAATAACAATCATGCGGCTGCTGCTCCCACGAAAACTCTGCCCAAGCGACATGCTTCGTTTGGCTCGAAAAAGGCCGTCGAACACGCGACTACGACCGATGGCGAGGCACAACGTACCGGCCCGTTTGATGGACGACGCATTCGCAACTTTTTCAATCGAGGACGGACCGGATCCAATGCCGAGGCGGCCGTAGCGAACAACAACACTGCGGCGGCGGCGGCGGATACGAGTAATAATAAGGCTCTCCCCAAACCGGCCACTGTGGGACTCTTTGGACGTCGTACATCGAGCGAATCGGCAGCGCCACCGGGTGAATCCTCGGAACGGGGACTTGACGGATCGTCTTCGGCCGCCGATCCCAATATTGTTCAACCCAAAGCCGATGGAAATACCAACCCGTTCGATGATGATCATAATGCATCCTTTGTCAATACGTCCGTCGGAAAGGAATCGCATATTGATGAAGCGGTTCAAGGTGGAGGTGGCGATGTCAATTTGGCATTGACCATCTAACTACAAAAGCAACGATTGGCTTGCTCTTTTTCTGAATACCTACACGACAATAACAACAACAACCAGCAACCAGCTTCGATTTCCCCAGTTTGTTTCACCGGGAACAATGTCAACTAGAGGGATTGATTTGATCAGATCAGGAGCAACCGTCTAGCAACAACCAGTCATTCAAATGCTTGCCTCCTTGAGTGCATTGAGATGCAACAACACTATTCGTGCAAAACAAAACTTTTGATTGATTGGCTTATTCAACAATCACTTTTTCATCCATCCATCCATCCATCGATATATCCATCCATCCAATCATTCTTTCTTTCACTGCAGGGGCGTGCTTGCTTGCTTTTACTAACTAAAACAGAAACAAATCTAGAGACTTATTTGATTGAACATCGTTGCGCTCTTCCTCACTTTTGTTTGGGGAGAACAAGTTTGTAGACTTTGATGCAAAGGCACTCATTGCGCAAACGTTCTAGTTTTATCCTAGCTGGTTCCTTAGGGGCGATGTTTCTCTCTCTGGCTTAGTTTTGCCATCGTCTGGCTAAGTTTTGCCATCGTCTGGCTACTTTCCAAGCTATACGGTAGACGCATCACTCCTGAAGCAGCTGACACAACGAAGGCCTGCGAGCTGGGATCATGGGTGGCTCCTTTGTGTTTTCCTCCGATCGAACAGCATTAGCTAGTTACCGGTACCTATCAGCTGGCCAGGTGTGACAGCGCAGCCAGAGGTGCGTGCCATGCTGCGTGGCGGATGCAAGCCAATTTTTTATGAGTTAACCGATTTGGCACTCGTTCAGTTCAGAACGATGGAAAGCACTCGACTTGTCTTGCCGAGGTCGAACCAGATAATCAGCGTTTAGTATGCATGTCGAGAAGACACCAATGACCAATGTGGTGCTCTCGCGACAGCATGAGACTCATGTCGAGTAACACGGTGGGCGAAGGTGCGCTGCGATGGCGGGAAGGCCTCAATGGGTACGGTATCCTACTGCCTCCTTTCTGACAAACCGGACTGGTATGATATTCAACCCTCAGGATAATGTTATGTACAATGTGCATAGTTTAGTATTTTGTTAGGTTGTAATAATGTTCAGTAGGGTGGCATTTGCTTGTTTGTTCAGGGCAAAACCTTCCAATGGAAATACAGGTGCGACTTGTATACAGTAAGGTATGTAGAAATGGAAGGCGGTATAGACACAAGCATCATGACCTTAGGCAGAGCTTGCCCGCACAATCTTGGGCTTGGGTGTAGGTCCATTCATGATGACTATGCAGTCGTCGCTCACGGTGCGAACGGGCATCTTTGGAGGCAACACTTGGCATGCTTTGGTCAGCAAGATTTCACGGCGTTTCATCTTTCGATCATTTACAAGGGGACAGCTTTCCCATCTGGATTCCGCAGCAATGCGGTATGTACACCTGCTGCTGGATTTCTTGGAGGAGCTGGAACGCACGGAAGGGGGAGGGGAGCGGTGGGAAAGTGCCTTGTCGTCAACGACTGTGACTGTGATTTCATGGGAGAAAGATACACCACACTTGTCCATGATGATTTGGCTGAGAAAGCCGCTCAAAGGACTGGATGGAGCTTGGTTGATCATGGTGGGGATATATTGTTGAGATACAATGGAGCTATTGAGATAGATAGAGATATTGTGAGCACATTCGAGGCCATCTGAAAGTGGTTTCCAAGCAATTTACTGCAGAGCTTTGTACTTTGTACTGGAGCCTGGAGCCAAAGGGAACAAGCCCCCGGATGCAGCCACGACATCAAAACCGACAGCTAAGTGGAGAAGAGAAGGTTGCAGTGCTGAAGGGAAACACTGTAGAAGAAAACAGTACAAATTGATTGCAGTTCTCATTGTGCGTTACTGACGATATTCGCCTTCTGAGGAACATTTGTTCCATGGAATGCCAAGTGCACATCCCTTCAAAAAGCCTGGAAGTTGATTTAAAAACTTTTCAAGAAAGCTTCCTCTGGCTCGCCTCCAACGAAGGTGTGAAAACCGATAAATGCACGTGTTTAGGAGCCAAAAGTGTTGAAGATCTATGCCCCATTTCCACCATTGCTTCTGAGCTCAGACATAAAGAGTTCTGATAAGATTCTGGAGAAGGTCCCCATGAGTTGGCCTCTCTACCACCTCGAACTCGTGAGAAGGCGGTACCAGCTCCAACATTCACTATGGACAAAATAGTAGTAACCAGCAGACCAAAAACTCCCAATCAAGTTCTCCATTCAGTGGCGTTTTTTTCTGGCTTTGATGTGTCTTTTACAAGAAGGGGAGCTTTCAGGGGTACCGACCGGTACATCCATCATCTGCATCACAGGAAAAGGGAAAAGCTACAGTTCCAGCAATGTGCTGGCTAACCAAGCAAGAGCCAGGAGAACACGTGCATTTGCAATGCAACCTCCTTGTTCGAGCATACTTGGCACCGGCACCATTGCTTGGACCTTCATGGATCGCATTCGATTCGCTACCATATCAGCATACCACAGGCACAATGACATGGTTTGCTATTGTACAATACTGTTGTTGTACTGTTGCTTGGACTCGACTCGAGGACCCTATGATTGGCGCCTCCCAAAACACTGCAGCTGAACGTGGCAGGCAGCAACTACAGGCAAGCTTTGATGAACTCGTCCCAGCAAACGGGAAGACATCATCAGTAACAGCAACTGAAGACATGTGCCGAATGAAGCAAGTGGCTGAGAGAAACGGTTAACGCTGAGGTGCTGTCTGGCTGGATAGTTTGAGTGACATCTTCAGCGTGGTGTCTTGCTCTGTCCGTTCGCCCCATGTCAGCTACTGTCTTTCCACAGCTTGTCCTCCGATGCAATACATACGTTGTCATGTCCAACTGTCCAAGCAATCTTGGTTTCCAGCCAGAGATTCTTCTCATCCCTATCCACAGTCCACATCAAGCAATGCTACTAGATATGTAGCTAAACAGTCAGGTCTTTGCTCTGTCCTTGGGTGACAGCAAGCAGGCATCCGAAATATACCGGTGTGCATAGACGACTGTCTTTCTTCAGTTGCCGACTTACCTCTGGTAAGCAAGCAGCAAGCGCAAACGGAGCCACTTCGCTCTCAACTTTCGTACCTTACCTGCCAGCAAGTGTCTACTCTTTCTACCCCAGTCGTCCGATTGGGTTGCCAGCTGAAGCAACCGTCCTCATGACTACAATGAACCCTATGCGTGGAAACTCGAGTGGCTCGCTTGTATTGTCTCCCTGCCTGTACTAGATCTATCGCTCCGATTGAATGAATCGAATCGAATCCAGAGGCAAACCGTGCCGCCCACATTGTTTGCTTGGCGTAGCGGCATGTTTGCTTTGCTTCCACTGCTTGAATCGAATCGAATCCAGAGGCAAACCGTGCCGCCCACATTGTTTGCTTGGCGTAGCGGCATGTTTGCTTTGCTTCCATGCACTGCTACGGTACGGTACCGCAAGGTACTCGAGCGTCGAGTTTGCTTCCACTTTCTGCTTCGTTCCGAATTCAATTACAGACGAGTGCGCCCCCGTTGTCTGTCGTCGAGCAGGTCACTTGGCTTGACTTGCTGCAGTCAGTCAGTCAGTCAGTCAGTCAGTTGCCGCCAAAACCATGAACACCAAGAACACTCCGAATACATCGTCGATGCGATTCGATTCATTCAATGTCACCGTCGTCTAGCAATCGGAATCGCAGTATAGTACACCTTACTGTACGATCAACTAAAGCTTACTTACTTACTTACTTACATACAGTTACGTTATTGCCACCTACGCTGCCGACTCTCCATGTACATGTATAATAATATATTCCATGACATTGTAAGGCATGTTAGGGTGTCATGTGCTTGTGGTGGTGGTTGGCTTCTTGGAGGCACTCTTCGAGTTCCTGAATCCGTTCTCGATGGCCCTGGTTGCGACGTTGTGCCTCTTCGAGCTCTTGTTGCTGCTTCAAGACAAGTGCCAAGATTTCCGCTCGTTCCGTAGTTGGTTCCTGGCTCTCCTCGGGTTGTTCTTGCTTCACTACGTGCGGCGACAAGTCGTGTTCCAATGGTTGAATCTTTTCCAATAATTGGATCTGACTCTCGCGTCCTTCGACGTCCTTGTTGGAAGAATCTTGCTGCTGCAGCTCTTGAATGAGTTCCGTCTTGACGTTGATGGACGTATGAAGCAATTCTAGGGTTTCGGCGTCGGCAGCCCGGAATCGTTGCAACGATTCCAACTGTTGCTTGAGCAGTGTATTTTGGGATTGGAAGGATGCGACTTGTTGTTCCAGGTCGCGGCATCGTGTTTGGAGTAGTGTTGTTTGTTGCTGTTGTTGTTTGACGGGCTGAGATAGAGCCTTGCGCTTGGATTGTTCTTGTTGTTTCTGTAGTTGATCTTGCTGTTTCTGTAGTTGATCTTGCTGTTTCTGTAGTTGATCTTGCAGAGCTCGAATGCTCTCTTGGAGCACGTTGCGTTCTAAATTCCATTCTTGTTCCTTCCTTGTTTGGTCTTGATTGGCTTGAGCAAGAGCCTTGAGTTTGGAGTGTTCTTGTTGTTGTTGGAGTTGATCATGCTGTTTCTGAAGTTGACCTTGCTGCTTCTGAAGCTTCTCGTGCTGAGCTCGAATGGTCTCTTGGAGCGCGTTTCGTTCGGCATTCCATTCTTCTTGTTCCATCGTCTCTTGTTCCTTGGTGATTGTGTTGTTGTTGCTGCTGTCGGGGGTGACGGAACGAGTGGTTTCGGGAGACCGAGATCGATTGGGTTCTCTCTGTGATTCAGACTGAGATGCTTTGAGTTTGTGTTCGAGCGAGTCAATGGTCTGATTGGCTTCTTGCAGGAGGAGGAGGAGTTTGGACTTGGTCAACAGATCGTCTTCGGATGGAAACTGCTGTAGCTTGGGTAGGTTATTGATACTGCTAGGCGTACTACTACTGCACGTACTGCTGCTATCTCCATGCAGCTTTTTCACGGGGGTATTCTCGGGGGATTCCACCAGCAGGGGCATGCTGGTTCGTCTGGACTTTTTTGGTTTTGTGGATTTGAAGAATACATACAAGACACACTGAACCCACAAGTAGACCAACAAAAAGGCGACGGCCATGACATCCAGCACCGCGGGTGGCTCCATCATCCCGATGATTGGCATACTGGCACTGATATCCACAGGCTTTGCAGAAGTATCCACTAGACCTTCAATCACTTGAAAGAAACTTGTCATTGTTGTTGCCTCTGTTGTTGTTGTGACCTCCGAAAACGAGTGAGAGTCTTCCGACGAGTCGTTGTACAGATAAGGGCTGTCAAACCACACCGACAACATCATGATGATAAGGTTAGATAACACTGAAGATAACACTGAAGAAGACCAATGCTGATTCAGATTCAGATTCAGATTCAGATTGAACAAGACAAAACGACGATGCAAGCCAAATGGAATTCTTTCTCTTGGTTGGTTGGCCTGCTGGCTAGCTAGCTAGCTAGAACAGCTAGAATAGCTACTGACTGGCTACTAGCACCATGGAAGCAATGCACAACAAACAAAGATAGATAGATATTGAAGCTGGTAGCTTGGTGTGCTCTGCCATGGCGGTAGTCTACCGTACCGTAGTGGTGGTACTCGTGCGTCGGTCCTCATTTTTTCGAACGAATGGGCAAACACAATGCCACGCATTGGTGGGTGACGTAACACTAAGATAATCGAATCAGAATGATCCCTTCTGCAAAGGTAGCACACTGACTCACGAACCTCGTCACCCGTATCGGTACGAGAACCCACGGACACGTCAACACAACACGAGGACTCGACTCGACCCTTTCAAACGAAACGTAGGGTTCGAATTGGGAGTCGAGTCCTCTCTTCTATAACAGTTATGCATGATGCATAGCTAGCTAGATGTACTGGTACGGTAGCTCCATATCATACTGTGCAGGAGAACCACTGCCATGATACCGTAGTACATGTAGTAGCTAGCTAGAAACGGACCAGCAGGCCGATATCTGTACCTCTTATTGTTACTGCAGAATGGCTGACTTGACCCACCCACATGTATGTATCATCAGCTGGATCTCGAGTGTGGGGGGTTCATTCCTCTGCAAGGGCTCCGACTGACGGCCGCCATCCCCACCGAATCGAGTCTGCTGCATGATGTCGAGCCAACTCACATGGTTGTCCTTGGCCGAGTTTTCAGTAAAGCAAAAAGACTCACAAGAAACCCACTCCAAGCACCATGCAATCGATGGCCATGACAACTAAGAGGGTATCTCTTAAAGAGTCTGCACTCGGTGTTCGGTACTCTTCCTACCGTATTCAAGCTTCTCCTCCCTTGCTAGTAGTACGTGTACTAGCCAAGCTAATTCTGGATACAGCCAATTGGCCAGCACTAAGACTCGTTCTTCCTCTCACCTACATTACAGTAACACGGTAGACTACATAATATCTCTTCCGCGAAAAAATCGATCATTCCAGTCACCGAACCGCTTGCATCATTAATTAAATTGGCCCACAGTCCAGGATGACCAACAATACTTAATGAGTGGTGTTCACGATATCGATCGAACAGTACTTGAGTAGCTATTTTTCAGCCATGGAAGTTTCGAAGAAAATACAGATGCAGAAAAGCGTGTGATAGGAATGGAAAATGTGTGAATACGACTGCGAGATACGAAGCCGCCAAAATAATCCCTCCCCTTGAATGGAATCCATTGCATGTGTAACTAGTTTTAACAAGTATCATTCCTGCGATGTTACTTTACACGAACGATGATGATAAGTAATCTGTCCCACTGTTATCAACAGTCTTTATCAATGACCAACTTCCGCAACTTTTTTGGACTCCGATCTCCGTATCAGGTACACGTACATCGTAGCTTGAAGAAACAAATCAGCAAATCATCCGCCCTCTGGCTAAAAAAAAAGACAGAGCAAAAGAGCCCATGCATCCAAGCTTTGGTGTTGCCAAATCGACAACACGCTCATCAGCGCCCATTATTGTTTCCGAATAGACAGGTACCGCTAACCATTGAAACCACTTCAACTATCACAGGTATCACAGCAAACAAGAAGTTAACGCACAAGCAACAAAGTAGTCATGTCTAAACATCATAGTGCAGGCAGTGATGGCGCTCCTTTGGCCGAGAACGATGGCCCTGTTGTGGCGTATGATGTTGTGGATTTTGATGTTGATGAAGATGTGGAAGGAGGCACGAAGGATGGCCCTTCCAAGGGAATGGATAAAACTGGAGAGGAGGACCTCGAGAGTGATAAGGGTGGCGAAGAATTGGACGAAGGCAGTTATGATGAGAGTGAGCAGTCTATTGACTCTGATCAAGAACGAGAAGAAGCTGTTCGAGAGGGATTCTTCTGGTTCTTTGTGGATAAGCTTGGGTGCGCGGTTTTGGCTCCGCTTTTGGAAGCCCTGGACAGCTTCTTGAAGTCTATCCAAGACTTTTTCATGTCGTTTTTTAATCGATTGATGCGTTGCTTCCGGGGTAATGACGAACCAGCTGACGCACAGGATTTGGTCACAGAAGTTGCAGATGCCGTGGACCCTTCTTCCGCACTGGACTCTTCCAAGCTTCTGAGTCACACCAATAGTGCTTCTGGATTCGGCGGTGGTCCCACAGGCCTCGAGAACAGTGCTGTTGGATTCGGTGGAGGTCCTATTGGCTCTCCTGGTGTGGCCGAAATGGCAGCTTCGGCTGTAAGTTAATTGCCTTTCGGATTGGATGGTCTCTAAAACACACGCCCGTCATATTTCCTTCTTTGGTTCCTAACTGCCTTTTCTGCTTCGATACCTACTATCCCTAGGCCCAAGGTGCTGCAACTTCCTCGGCTTCTGGAGTTGCTGCCAGTGCTGGTGTTGCTGGAGCATCTGCTGCAGGTGCGCCCAGTTGAATGATCATGTTCAATTTGAAAAGTTCCTCATTGCCGCATTCTGACATGTGCTTTCTATAACTGCTTGCAGGACTAACTGGGGCCACCACGTTGGTCGGAGCAGTTGCCACTTCAAGTCTAGTCACACAGGCTGGAGTAGCTGTTGGAGGTAAGCTCACAATGCTTTGATTTGATTGATTCCATTTGCTTCATCAAGAAAGGACGGCAACTAAAGTTTCGTTTGTTCTGCTGTAGCAACACTGACTGCAGCAGCATTGTCTGCAGGGGTATTGCAGTCAACTTCATCAGGTCCAACCCCAACTCCAGAAACACAGTTTCCCACAATTTTTGACAAGTTTGTCCCCCCTGTTTGCTCAGATGCTGAAAAGATGGAGGTAGGGTTCGTTGAGCTTCAGATCAAGGGAATCCCACCTGATCTTCTGTTCAATCAACAGGACAGGCAGATGATTGAGTTCCTCTTCAGAGATGTTTACAATGACATATCTGTGAGTTCTTCATGCTTCAACTTTGCTCATGAACCATTCTATGTATTTATTTCATTCCTTCTGATTACAAATTCTTGTTTCCTCTGAAATCTCAGGGAATGTGTCTGGACCTGTATGATCGAGTAATGCACAATGTCACTATTGACAAGTGGGAAACAGATTGGGGCAACTTCACCAGCAGTGATACTCTGAGCTTCTTGCCACCTGATTTTGGTAGTCTGGATCTCGGAAACAGTTCAACGGTTGGCAGGATTGGCGCTTCTAAAGGAAACCAAACCTCCCAGTCCGACCCATTGATCTCGTGGCTTCAAGACACCAATACTTCCTTGGATGAGTACAGCGATCTGGTGGCCAACAGCATCACTACTGTTGTCTGGAAGGCCATTGTTGCCTGTAATGGGTGTCCCGATTATGAGCCCCTGTTCCAGCTAGCCACCGAAGACAACACATCAGCCAGGACGAGAAGGACTTTGAGTAATCTGCATGCCCACAGGAATCTTGTGATGGATGGGTTGAATCTTGAAATGTCTGAGTTCTTGCCTCTACATGCCGCATCCTTTGGATTCAATATGCAAACAGCCCTATCAAATAATGTGGATGCTCAACAACCCGGCAAAAGGTTGAGCGCCACCCCAATGCAAGTTGGCTCTGCTATCACACTTGCGGCAACCACAACGGATGTGATCAGCCTAGAAGCGGAGCAAGTTCAAGTGGTTGACCCAGAAATTCTAGAACAAGCCAGACTGCTTGTGGAAGCAAATAACGGAACGATCAAGACTCCTTTTGTCAACGCTGAGCTACTCACCATTCGGGAGTGTCTTCAAGAGAGCAATAGCACTGAAGATGCTTCAGAGTTGTGCAAGAAAATCTTTGAAGAAACTTCAGGGGTTACTGAATCTGAATCTCTGAGCCTTTGTTTGGAGAACCCCAGCAGTGGCCAGTGCCAGCAAATCCTTCCTAGGATTGTCGATGGAATACTAGACTTGACTGGTCGACGAGTAAGCATCACCCAACTGGTTGCTCAATTATCCCAGGAAGAAACTGCGTCATGGGGACAAACCACCCCAGGCCAATTAGAAGAAAATGTGCAGGATGTGGGAGCAAATCTTGATGCCCTGCGTGATGCTGAGACTACCTATCCAACTGGCCCGTCAATAAGTGTACAACCTAATACAGCAATGCCTACAGTTGCTCCCGGCAGCCCATCTGTATCTCCAACAACAGACAAACCCGCAAGTGCCAGTCCCACAACATCTCTTCCTACAGTCACTCCAGGTAGCCCTTCTTTAGCTCCGACAACAGAGAAACCAACGAGTGGAAGTCCCTCATCAGCTTTGCCTACAGTCACTCCTGGTAGCCCTTCTGCTGCTCCGACAACAGACAAACCGACTAGTGCCAGTCCCACCACAGCTCTGCCTACAGTCACTCCCGGAACTCCATCTGTTTCTCCAACAACAGACAGACCCACAAGCACAAGTCCCTCAACAGCTTTGCCTACAGTCACTCCCGGTACTCCATCTGTTTCTCCAACTACAGACAAACCCACAAGTTCCAGTCCCACCACAGCTTTGCCTACAGTCACTCCTGGCAGCCCTTCTGTTGCTCCGACAACAGACAAACCGACAAGTGCAAGTCCCTCAACAGCTCTGCCTACAGTCACTCCTGGTAGGCCTTCTGCTACTCCCTCAACAAAGAAACCTATAAGCGCCAGTCCCGCCACAGCTTTGCCTACAGTTACCCCAGGTACTCCTTCTGTTGCTCCGACAACAGACAGACCCACAAGTGCAAGTCCCTCAACAGCTGTGCTAACCATCACTCCTGGTAGCCCCTCATTGGCTCCAAAAGCAGCAGCAGTCGAAAATGGCAGTCCTACCACAGCTATGCCTACAGTCACAGCTGGAACTCCTTCTGTTGCTCCGACAACAGACAGACCCACAAGTGCTAGGCCAAGCACCTCATTACCAACTGTTCTTCCTGGTAGTCCTTCTTTGGCTCCGACAACAGAGGGGCCGACGAGTGTGAGTCCCACCTCAGCACCTCCTACTGTTGCCCCAGGGAATCGTGGTGATGCTTCAACAACAGCAAATCCCACCACAATCGTGCCCACTGTTGCTGCTGGTAGTCCTTCCGTTGCTCCAACAACTACCAGCCCCACTACGGTACCTCCTACCATCACACCTGGTAGCCCTTCTGTTGCTCCAACAACTGCCAGCCCCACTACGGCACTTCCTACCATCACCCCTGGCAGCCCTTCTGTTGCTCCAACAACTGCCAGCCCGACTACGGTAACGCCTACTATCACTCCTGGTAGTCCTTCTTCGGCTCCAACAACTGCCAGTCCGACCACAGCTTTGCCAACTGTCACTCCTGGTAGTCCTTCTTTGGCTCCAACAACAGCCACCCCCACAAGTATGAGCCCCACGACAGCTTCCCCTTCTGTTACACTGGGTAGTCCCTCTTTCACTCCAACTACAGCCCAACCCACCACAGCTGGTCCCACTGTGACACCAACTGAACTCCCAACAGAGCAGCCAACACCTGAACCAACAAGTGAACCAACAAGTGAGCCAACAAGTGAGCCAACAGCGGAACCAACAGTGGAACCAACAGCGGAACCAACAGAACAACCAACAATAGAACCCACAGTGGCACCACAAGATCCCTCAGCTACACCGTCACAAGACACCTCAGTCACGCCCACTGGAGTCCCCGGAATCCCACAAACAGGAGTACCCACGACTTCACCATCGGTTAGCACTACAGCAGTACCAACACCGGATTCCTCACCTGGAATCACAGATTCCCCAACAGGCTGTACTCTCGAGGCAACAGCAAGTATAATCGGGATGGATTTCGAAGGTGACATCGCACTCATCTCTGATGAAGAGTTCACCTTGGCATTTGAACTTGCATTTGCATCTCTCCAGACAGATGATGACAGCTCCTGTGCATCATCAGTCAGTAGTGTTTCCCTTGACTATCGCACTGCTAGGAATCGCAAGCTGGAGAACACTGAATCAAACCGTGCAAGAAATGTGAGGACCCGCCAGCCGAAGGTTTCTCAGTCATCTGGGGCACGGGTGCTGCAAACAACAGCCATACCCACCATGAGCATGACCACCAGCCCCAGCACAAATCCTACTGACGATTTCTATGGTTACGGTTCCGATGACTTCTACTATGATGATTTCTATTATGGTGATGATGTCATCATTGTTTACCACTATATTGAATTCTTGGTTGTTTCAGAACAAGACGCCGGCACCTTCCTGATTGATGATATTTCATTCAGTGACCAGTACAGCGAAAGCCTAAGTGCTGTCACTCCCAACGCAGACTCCTTGACAGTGTTTTCTGTTCTAACCCTTGCAAGTGATGTCGTGATTTCAACCAATGAACCAACAGCTGAAGCAACACAAATCCCCACTACGATTCCCACGGAGAGCCTGCCACCCAGTGAATCCCCAACAGGATGCGAGCTTTCTTTAGCTCCAGTGGAATCCAACTACACAGTCGAATTCACTGGGGACATCAGCCCCTTGGGAGATGCCATATTTACTGGAGCGTTCACAACGGCACTAGTTGCAACATACGTGGGCAGCATTTGCCCTCCTTCACTAGAGAGTGTGGTTGTGTTCAGCAGGCCTGGTATCAATGCTGCTATGGCCAGCTCCTACCAGCTTTGGGGTGAAAGAAGACTGCAGAGTGTATTTGTTGGGTTCACAATAAGAGCACAGCAAGCCCCAGGAAGTGCTCTTATTCAAGCTTCTCAAGAGTCTCTGTTCCTTGAACAATTCACAGCATCCGTAAACACAGCTGGGGTTGTGGCAATCTCGGTGGCACTCTCCAGTAGCCTACCAAGCATGCCATCCAACAACCCCTCTACCGGCCCTTCCCTGCAACCTTCAACTGTGCCCTCCATCTTGCCCAGTGAGCTTCCATCAGCTCAACCATCAAGCAATAGTTCCTCTTTGCCATCATCAATGCCAACAGCGAGCACTCTTCCATCTGGAAGCCCTCTTCCATCTGGAAGCCCGTCAGTGACTCCGCCAACGAGGCCTTCAGCAGCACCCTCACTCTCCACAACACCATCAGTGTTTCCAAGCAGAGTGCCCTCGATGAACCCATCTGCCAGTCCGTCAATCAACTCCACAGCAGCCCCATCATCTACACCCTCGATATCACCAACCACCAGCCCCATATCAGCAAATCCATCTACATCTGCCCACCCCTCAGTCAATCCTTCAATACTGCCTAGCATTACTCCATCGTTGGAGCCATCTGAGAATCCTTCTATTGATCCCTCAAGGAACCCAACATCTTCCCCTTCACGAATGCCTAGCGTTACCCCTGGGAATCCAACATCCAGTCCCACAACATCAATCAGCCCATCAGCGATCCCATCAACCAATCCATCCGTAATACCTAGCACTGCTCCATCGAAGGAGCCATCATCTACACCCTCAATATCACCTTCTGTAACCCCAGGAGCTCCAACCACCAGCCCAATAACAGCAATCCCATCTACAGAACCATCTGCCCACCCCTCAGTCGATCCTTCAGTAGTGCCAAGCACTACTCCATCATTGGAGCCATCTGAGAATCCTTCGGTGAAGCCATCAAGAAACCCAACATCTTCTCCTTCACGAATGCATACCGTTACCCCTGGGAATCCAACTTCCAGTCCCACAGCATCGAGCAGCCCATCAGCAATCCCATCAGCCAATCCGTCCGTAATACCTAGCGCTGCTCCATCGAGTGTACCAACGAAAACCCAGCCATCACAAGCTCCCTCAAGTACGCCAAGCACAGTGCCATCGGTGGCCCCATCTTCTACTCCAATCATGCCGCCTTCGAAGCCCCCATCACAAGCCCCCAGTACCAGTCCAACAACATCCAACTCACCCTCAGTAAAACCATCAGATACCCCGAGTCTAAGTGCTGCACCCAGTGATAGCCCATCTTCACCACCTTCAACTATCCCTTCATCAATTCCTTCTTCTTACCCCTCGAGAACACCTACAACATCCCCTTCCTCACCACCCACAGTCACCCCAGGGAATCCCACCACAAGTCCAACAACATCGATTAGCCCTTCAGAGAGACCCTCTGAGAGCCCTAGCCTGAGCAATGCACCTAGCATAACCCAATCGTCGCCACCTTCAGCCGAGCCTTCTGCTGTTCCGTCAACTGTGCCATCAAGCACCCCAAGCATCCACCCTTCAATCCTGCCTTCCGTCAGTCCATCGCTGGCACCATCAAATTATCCCAGCTTAAGCCCCTCCATTGCCCCATCTATTATGCCAAGCATCAGGCCTTCTGAATTCCCATCTACAAACCCCATCAGCAGTCCATCTGATCTGCCTTCGAGTAGTCCCAGCACCAATCCATCTGACTTGCCTTCCTTAATCCCTTCGGATATCCCCTCTTCCAACCCCAGCAGCAGTCCATCTGACATCCCTTCGAGTCAGCACAGTCACAGCCTCTTACCCTTCGTTCCTCTTCCCACAGCTTCATTGACTCCCTCAGATCCCAGACAGCCTCTGGTCATCCTCATACTCCCAGCACCAGCCCATCTGATGTTCCTTCCATCAGCCCTTCATATGAACCATCCACAATTCCTAGCATCAGCCCATCAGACAGACCATCAATGCTGCCTAGCATAACCCCTTCAGATGTTCCATCTACAAGCCCAAGCACTAGCCCATCCGATGTTCCTTCCATCAGCCCTTCATATGAACCATCCACGCTTCCCAGCATCAGCCCGTCAGACAGACCATCAATGCTGCCTAGCATAACCCCTTCAGATGTTCCGTCTACAAACCCAAGCACTAGACCATCCAATGTTCCTTCTGCCAGCCCTTCAGGTGGACCATCCATTCTCCCAAGTATCAACCCTTCAGATTTTCCATCCTCAAACCCTAGCATTGCACCATCGGGTAGGCCTTCCTTTAGCCCAAGCCGAAGCCCATCTGATTTGCCTTCAATATCTCCATCTGATGTGCCTTCATCTAACCCATCTAAATCACCCTCAAAGGCACCAACCAACCCACCAACACCACAGCCAACTTCTGTGATGTCATACTCTTCTGGAACCATCAATACGGTACTTAATGACTTAGCAACCTTCACTGTTCAAATATCGGTTGGCGACTCCTTTACCTTGTGTGAGTTGACTCGTCACATTCACATTCTTGAAAAATGTTTCCTCGTTGCTGCATTCTCACAACCATGCTTTCTATTTTTTGTTGCAGGTGACGTTGACGTCGAGGTTGACATGACACATGAATATACAGGTGACTTGGATATCGAAGTCCGCCATCCAGACAGTACATCGGTAAAGCTTATGCATGTCGACTGTGGTAATGACGCTGACTTTCATGCTCGTTTCGATGATTCAAGTAGCACCACAATTGATGGTGCTGTTGCTAGTGATTCTGTTTGTGCTTCTAACTCTGGCAGCACTTATGTCCGACCACAGGGTACTCTTTCTTCATTCAATGGCAAGAATTCCCAAGGAACCTGGACATTGTACGTACGTGATGCTTTAGCGAATCACGCAGGAACTCTGACATCCTGGACGTTGTACCTGTCTAATTGCTCAAATTAGTGGAGCAAGCACAGGCAGATAGATTATCTTTTGTTATCGTTACATAGCTTTTATCTTTTTTAAACATATCAGATTCATTTATTATCCCCAAACTGTCTTTTAGTGCCGAAACCGCTCCTGTTTGACAAAGGGGAGTCACCCCATTTCAATAGTGCAACTGGATTTGTCGGGGGTCATATTGGCACTCCTGGTCAAAACGGCGGCTTCAGCTGTGAGTTCCCGGGCCGCTGCGTTTGTTGATCAGATTTGTCTCAATGAACCAGGCCCGCCACTCCTGTGAAATGCACTGATTCCCTCATGGGACTCGCACACATGACTGATGTCATTTGTGGTTCATCCTAACCCTAGTTTTCGTATTCAAGACTAAGTGTGCATGATTCAGTAGCTAATCATCGCCATTCCAATCAAAGAACCGTCGAGAAGCATCCCACACTCTCAGCCAATCATTCTTCTGAAACGGAACACGTGGAATGAACTTCCACGCTACTAGCTTTGACTAGCAATAAGGAACTTCCATGCTTCGGTTGGCAGAAGCCAAACACCACGTACAATGTAGTACACATGGCATTCTACGCCCAACTCCTGCAGTTTGCAAGTCTACGATTAAAGATCATACGACGTCTCCTGTAGCCACAGTAGACAGCAAGAGGATATGGTTTCGACAACCATATCTGGAGGTCTATTCAGCCCTCACTCTTGATTAGCTTTTCCTCTCTCTCTTCTAATCTCTCATTTCTAGAAACTAGACAATCAAAGCCATTAACCAACTCAAAGATATCTAATAGCTTTTAGCATAGTGAAATTTGTTAACAAACACATTCACTACGGACAAATTTCATTTCTACATTTCATTCATCGACCATGAAAATCAACCTACCCAAACATCCGTCAATGCCTCGAGACGTCACATTTCTTCCTTTGATCAGCGATACTAGTAGCTTGCAAGAGTCTATCGATCACAAGGATTCAAATTGTTTCGAGAGCGAGTTTCAAGCTACTACGTGTGATGCCAGCCAAAGCTGGCTCCGCGTTGATCAACTTCTCCATGATTGTGTGAATACATGAATCACCTTCAACTACAATAAACTTCCCAATATGCCTCCTTTCCGTACAGAGAATCGTCTCACTGATGTGAGATGGTGGACATCCTAGTCTCTCCATGGTTACAGAGATAGACCGTCTCGACTTTGATCATTTTGAAAAGAAATTTTCTCTACTGTAGACATCTGCGAATGCCTGGAATCGTCAGAAGACTTCCAGCACAACATGGGATCGACTAACCCTACACGTCGGCACGATCCAAGAAACCCAAGACTCATGGTCAAGGTTCATCTTTATAACTACTGTGAACCCGTCACCATGGTAAGTATAGACATGCCACCAAAAATTGCAATGCTAATATCAAGAAAATGGTAGCCTCGGCTAAGTCTGGTAAGTTGTATTACAAACCCAAGTTTGGAAACAAGACTTGGAAACGCGTCTGCGGATGATTCCAAAAAGAACGCCAAGAAGGACTTGGCTTGCTTTGTTTCCAAGAATTTCGAGAAAGCCCTCAAGAAGGAACTCAATACCATTAGCAAGAAATGCTCCAAGGATGAAGTCGATAGTATAGTAGCAAAGAAAGTGGTAAAGGATGCCAACGCAATGGAAATACTTCTAGTAAATAGGTGGATCTCGAATAGGTGGCTGCCGCTCTACAAGATCAACAATAACTATTTGAGACGAGTGCAAGCTAAATGCAAGGTTCGCTTCTTAATAATTCATAAAACCAATAAGGCAACCTTTTTGTAGCGTGTTGGATCAATGCATCGTAGTAGGAGATCTCTGAACATATGGAAGACAACGTGGAATCAATCTACGTGAAACAGTTCAGCAACAGATGCTTTGCTTCCGACAAATTTATAAACTCCAACTGATCGTTTCTTTTGTCTCGCTCAACAGCTAGTTGGCTTCCACCAAATGATGTAATCTTGTCATAATCAACTCACGATTCATGCCTCAATATAATTACTGATACTCTGAGTCATGGGACAAACTGTAGTGCTTTCACTTCCCTCAATGGCGACCTTCGACTCTGGGCGTTTCTTGCCACAATCCTTGGTGTTTCCTGACCAACGTAATAGGACGTTCAAGAGCGGCCACACAGATGTGTAGCCCCAATGTTTTGCTAAGAATGTACGCAGGGTTGGTAGAACCAGGGATATGATGGAACTGCTAGGAGTGAGAATCAGATCTGGCACCTGACTCCGTCCTGGTGGTACCACAGCCCTTCTCTGCGCACATGTTGACTCAGATGCCATCCGCCTTCTCGGCCACTGGAAGTCCGATGCCATGCTCCGCTACCTGCGCATCCAAGCCGCTGCCGCCACCCACCACTACTCCCAACAGATGTTGGACCATGGGGCGTACAACTTCCCGGGAGGCACCTACGATCGCCACCTTCTCCCGGCGCAAGCGCCCCAACACTTCAATGAGATTCTTCTCCACCAAGAACTCTACGAGGACTAACCTACCTTAGTCCTCGTCCCCCTGTCCTTGCCTACACCTGGACAGGGGGTAACTTCTCCCACCCCGCTACGCTCCCTCCCTGTTCTGCCTTTGGTTTTCTGGTTGCACGACTCAAGGCTGTCCCGTGGAACATCACATTCCCGGGACTCCCTTCTGCCGTGTGGGATCCATCCGGGACTCCCCAGTCCCGAATGGTACCCCGGGGACTGGAGACGGTCGGCTCAGTAAATGGCCGAGTCTCTCCACTCACCTAATCCTCTACTAGTCGTGCCTAGCTGCTCTGGGCGAGCGCAGCTTGTGTGCGCTCGGATTTGATGAAAGCAACCCCCCCCATGTGTCATTTCGCAGAGGCCGAAGATTCGTTGGATATCACCAGCAACCTCGCGCATCATATGGAGGACTCCTCCAACATTCACAAAACGATAGAAAACCTCTTCGCCTAGGATGTCACCAAAGCTCTGGTTCCCGCCACCAACAATCTCGCCAAGATCATCAAGGACTCTTTCATGTGGGAAGAACGTAATGTTGATGCGTTGGAAAAGTTCGCTTTGACATGGTTCTCGACTTTGCTGATCCAGTCGACTACGGGATCCAACACCATGGCTTTGCAGTCAGCGCAGGGATCATATTGTTGAACTGTTCATCTTCGAATTCCTCAAGCCTTTCATAACCCATCACGGTAACATCCATGAAGCGTTGCATACTTACCGAACATCTAAGAAGCGCATTTTTAGGTAACTAGAAAACGGGAGCACCCCTACCATACCGTTCCACGTGTTTGGCATATAAAATCGTGACGTCGCTGGTTAAAGCTTTGGTAGTAATTCAGCAGTTTCGGAAGGTGAGGTCATCCAAGCGGATCCGACGAGCTCCTGATTTGTAAGGTAGCATGCATGATAACATACAAGCACGACCTTGCCAACCCAGTCGTGCCCTTTCGGTTACTTAGGTATGTGTATGTATTAAGGAGGAAAACTACATACAGAATGCAGCAGGACGAGTTTACGGATTGCTAAGTACAATCTCATTGTATAAGATCGAGCCACTCCAGAGCCCAGAAACTGTCAATTGGAACCTCAGAAGCCACATTTTTGACGGTGTCTAGTACGTTCTATATGCTAAAAAGTAACGTCTGCAAGCTACCAGTTGATTTGTACCTATCTACAAATGGTTTGGTATCGTTGTGATTACTGTGATGATTGGTTTAAGAACCAGAGAGCTCTATCAAGTCACACACAAGCCTATCAACCTTGTATTGAGGCACGGAACAGAGTGCCAGGCATTGACACTGGACTAACAAGAAGGCTTAGTAGATCCAGGGCTAGGGCTGCAGATCTAGGTGCTACTGACACTGGGAGGCCCGCAAGGGCACCAACACCAACAACAGAGGAACAGGAAGATGAAGAATTCAGTTAGGACATTCCACAAGAGATGCAAGAGGAAGATGATCCAATGGAATGGGACCCCGTGAATGTTGATCGTACTGGTTCTGAAGATGAGGACGAGGACGACGAAGATGAGGATGACGACGAGGATGATAGAAAACAGGCAGCGGATGCACAAATTGGCAACCAAAGTGACGGTATTAGGGAAGGCAGAGAAGAGGTAGATGCGGAGGACGAGGATCAGGAAGCCACAGATGAGGATTCGGATGAAACTGACAGTGATGAGGAATCCAGTACTGAAGGATCCGTGGCCACAATCATACAAAACAACAGCCAGGACAAGCAAACAAGGATCAAGAGACCTCCTGACAACAGAAATATCAAGCAATTCAGACAGTACTGTGAGAAGAGTCGGCGTAGCAACATCCCACTGAATGCAAAGCAGGCAAGGGGCGTCAGGCTGATGGATATCTTACGAAAGAACAAGACACCTCTGACTGCCTATGATGATATTCTTGGCTGGCACCTAGAGGAAACTGGTAAGCAAGTTGGAGATGAGCCAATCGGTGAGGTGCCAGACTACCTCAGCCGCAAAGCATTGATGAGCTTCCTCACGAAACGGTACAACATGACCGACGAGTTTCCTTTTGAAAAGGAGATAACGCTTCCTCATTGTGGTGCAAAGATCAAGGTTGTGTGCCTGGAGGCTCGCAATTGTGTGTGGCAGTTGCATGCTGATCCACGTCTTACGGATGATGATTTCTGCTTCTTTGACAATGATCCGTTAGCTCCACCACCCAAAACGACAACCAAAGTGGGGCACTTGAATACTGGTGAGGCATACAGAAATGCATACTTCGAATACATCAAGAATCCAGAGAAACAGATGGGAATTGGCATCCGATGGTACATCGATGGAGCAGTGACTGTCCAGTTTAACAACCTATCGGTCACAGCATTGAAGATGACGGTGTCCTGTTTCACGCTTGATTATCGAAAGAAAGATCATGCCTGGGCAATTCTTGGGTTTGTGGTCAACTATTCTGCCGGCAAAACCAAAGGCAAGAAGATGTATGGAGACACACAGCATGACCAAGCAAAGGAGGACCTGATGAATTATGAGAGATTTGTCGCAAATCAGGAAGACAAAAAGGTTGACAAGGCACAGGATTTTCATACGCACCTGGCGGCCATACTGCATTCTTACCTACCGTTGGATGCAACTGGCATGGTCTGGGATCTCCATTACCGAGGAAAGCTTTACCGAAACCTCAAGCTAGTCTTCTGGACTCTCATGGTAAGGGCCGACACGGATGAGGCAGAGAAGCATTGTGGGAAGTATAGGAGTCGGGCAGGGAATGTGAAGCATTTGTGTCGGTACTGTCAC